GATGTGGCTGGTCAGTCTGTAGCGCTGCAGCCTTGCAGCAAGAAGGTTTTGGGTTCGAATCCCAGCCCGGGTCTTTCTCCATGGAGTTTGCATGTTCTCCCTGTGCATGAATGGGTTCTCTCTTGGTACTCTGGCTACCTCCCACAGTTCAAAAACATGGCTTTAAGGTTAATTGGCTTCTCTAAACTCTCCTTATGTGTGGGTGAATGGTTGTTTGTCTCTTTGTTGCCCTGTGATGGACTGGCAACCTCTCCCCGCCTCTCGCCCATAGACAGCTGGAGATAGGCACCAGCACTCCTCGTGACTCTGCTTGGAATAAGTGTGACGGAAAATAGATGGAAGGATGCATGAATTGAAGTTACGTATTTGCGTATCGCCACCATCTGGCTTTCTGATAGTTCTGCGTAACTGCCAGCAGATGTCGCCACATCAGTTTATGCCTGCCTGCTTATGTCCAGTGCTGAAATTCTATTTAGGCTTGAAAAGGACAATCTAAACACTATGAGGATGAATGCTTGCTTGGTCTATCGAACCTTATTTTCTCTCATACTCGTCGTCTTCCTCTTCTCTTTGACTGGGTCTTGGGGGCAGTAGTCTCAGCAGAGACTCCCAGACATCCCTCTCCCAAGACACATCCTCTTGGGTTGTCCCTTGGGCCTCCTCCCAGTTGGACGTGCGTCCTGAGGGAGGTGTCCAGGGGGCATCCGACAAAGATGTCTCAACTGACTCCTCTAGATGTGGAGTAGAAGCTGCTCTACTTTGAGCCTCTTTCTGTGTCGAAACACTCAGCGGAGAAATATCAGTCATATATTCTTTGAGTGGTTTTGGTCATTTTCGTATGGGCAAATAACATGACTATGCCCCCTTTAAAGCAACACTAGATAACTTTTGAGCCAAATATGAGCTTAATCTTAGATATACAAAATGATTTTTCATACTGTCCATCTTAATAACTTGCCTGTGTAACTTGAGAGGGTTTTATCTGTTGCTGAATAAATTATTTGAGCTAAACCAACACTTTACAGCAGTATGGGCTCATCTTAAACACCAGAGCTAACTAAGATAAAGTTGTAGTTAGCCAACAGAACAGATATAAGCCCATACTTGATGAAACATATTTTTGGAGTACAGGAATGAATGTGGGTCTTGTCTTTATAAACAACTCCAAGACTTCTCATTCTGCAGGTGCTATCAGATTCCAGAAAAATATTGGCTGATAGGGGTGTTAAACCTTCATGTTACAGATCTAGGGCCCCTAATGGCTAAAATTTACAGTGTTGCTTTAAAATCAATGAGGAAAGTAACTAATAACAAATTTTTAACATATTTTAACAGGTATTTTTCTGTAATCATAAAATAACTGATTGATTTGATTGAATTTTTGGCAGAATTAAAATAATTTATTTTATTCTGCCAGGGGTATTAATCATTTTAGGCTTAGCTGCATTCAGGACCAAGACTGAAGTTATATTATTGAATGGGGTCGTGCGCAGATAATTAGAGCTCTTCTGCGCTGATATTTTTTCTTATTTCATTGGGGGTTTTTTTGTATTTCAGGTTCTGCTGGCTTTCTGCTGATGGCTGTAATGATTGAATGGCTTCTGCTCCCCATCCGTTAAGATCAGCCAGTTCAAAGCAAAACCACTTCCTCCAATTTTGCTTTGAATAAGTGTGCAAAGCTGCTTTGCTAAATGGATGGGCCTCTCTTTCGGTGCCTTCTGCATCATCTTACTGCTTTTTTATTTACCTATATCCTATATACTTATGTTCTCTGTTGTTTGAAAGAATTACTTTGCTAACAAAGCACAAACCTCTAAGGCAGCACTTAAAAAAAAGTTTTTTTCTGTCTTTCAAAAGGGATTCTTTGCACTTTTATTTTATATCATTTTGTTTTTTATGTTCTCAAAAAATGAAAATTTCCAGGTTACTGTAAAGATAAAGACTTTCATTACTTTAGATCAAATTCCACAAATCAAAGTTTACCGGTACTCAAAACTAGTTTATTGCGAACAAATCTGTAAACTTGACACAAAAACCAAATAACTCTTAGATATACTTGCTGCTAAAGTTGAAAATAAGTGTAACAGTTAGTTTGTAATGGAAAATACTGATCTTATCTCTATAATTTCATTTGAAGTGATTGGAAAACTTATTTATTGTTATTGACACTTTTTTTTTAGCTAAAAAAAAAAAAATACAGAAGGACTATTTTACTTTTGCACTTAAAGACATCCTTTGTATTTCAATTTGATTTTTTATTTATTTTTGGAAGCACTTTACTGGAGCAGCAAAGAGCATTTATTGCAGGGTTGTCTAGTGGGACCCTGGACCAAAACGTTGTCCCTAAAAGGATTTTAGTACAAACACTGGCAGCTTTAGCAATTGATTGATATAGACACATATCAATTTTATTAATTTACTTATGAATTAAAGTCTTCTTAATTGTTATTCTTTAATAACACCCACTGTAAGTTGCAATACAAATAGCTAACATCAACTCTAAGTAAACAGGAGACTTTTATTGCACCCATTCTTTAAAGTCATTTTTGAATGCTGGTCCACTAATACTAATGCTAACCTTGGTTCAGTTAACCCCTTTGGTTCCTGAAGGATAATAAAATGTGACCGATGTTTACCCCTGTTTTTCTTTTTCTTGGGTTGAATCTGCCTTGCCATTCATCAAATTTTGTCAAGACTAAAGGTACGCTGCAACATAACTCATTAATATATACTGGGATCAAAACAGATTTATAGATTGACAATATTTTCTAAATATTCCCAATAAATGTGAAACTGCCTTCCAACAAACTGCAATAAACATCTATATTACATCTAGATTGTAATAAATCAAGACACATTTATAAATACACACTATAATATATATATATATATATAAAAAAACACTATTAATTAATGTATCAGCTTCTCTATATTTTAACTGCTGAAAATATTCTGTTTTAAACTGATAATGAATGTAATGCATGCATAGTTTGAGGTAGTTTGCTTAACAATTTGTTGCTTTTTCATCTTTGATTGTAAACTAGCTATTTTCTAACATTAGTATGATTGAATAAGCTAATAACACAGAGTTATTTACATAATGTTTAATATAAGTTAGTATTACTAACACATTAGCAATATTTATCAATAGTATAAAACCTTCATGTCATTTGAGCTCAGTGTTACTCTCCCCATGTATTTCTGTCATATAAAGACAACGATACACTAAAGTGTTGCTTTTTAGTAAATTAAATTTTTTTCTTTGTATAGTTTTAACACCCTTAAATAAATATGTACAAATATCAACAAAAAAAAATTCAACCTGTATTAACCCCTAGAACCCTACGGACCCACCGGTGGGTCCAGCTGCTACGTGACCTCGTAATTTTACCAAACCCCCAGTATTGATGTAAAAAACACATTTGGCACAGTTTGGTGACATTTTTGGATAAATGTGCCAAAATGGCCTCTCCGCCTAAGAAATTTCTCACTAATACCATTCTAAAATAAATATGATTCATCTGATTGAGTCCAAATTTGGTATATTTTTACACAACATTTAGATTTAAAAGTCTGTACTACTTTTTTGTGCTATGAATAATATTTTGGTAGTGTTTTGCAATGTTTATTTCAAAGAAAATTTTGGCGAGGTTCAAAAAATGCAAAATATTTTGTATTTTGTCCCTAATATTTCAGGCAGGGTCAAAGCTACAATGGTGCTGACACCAGAAAACCATTCTATGACATCTTACCTTTACAGAGGTACCAAAAGTTTCTTCTTAAATCTAATAGCTGTGAGGCTATAAGTGATTTACTTTTGTGTGTTTTTGTCACGCAGAAATTTATTTATACCCCCTAAGGGTGTAAGAGGTTAATAAAAAATTATCAATCCATTAAGTGATTCAAGAATTAAGAAAAAAAAAACATCCCATCTGAAAACACTTGGTAAAATACTGACATAGTATTATACAGAATAAAAGTTACTCTTAATATTATATATGCTTTTAATTGCACTATGTTTATATAAACCCCCTTTGAATGTCAGATGTATTGTATTTTGTCTCCTTTTATTTGTTCTCAGGTGTTTTTTGTGCCAAAGTTTTCTGTTAGCTTCGGCAAACTGCCTTTTAACTTTATATTATGTTTTGTTACTTGAAGGATGAAATATTCCAAATTATTGCAGTTAAATACATAACCAAACCAGCTATATTATATAGATATTTTTAATTAAAAAAATCAACTTATTTTTCTGCGCAAAACCATGTGAAGTGTAATGTTTAATTAAAAACAAAAATTTAAGCACTAATAGCCTAAAATATTTTCTAGACCTAACTTTGTGAACTTTTAAAAAGATAATATATGAAGTTTAGATGATTATTTAACCCTGCAGTAATGCTCATTTTTGCTCCAGATCTTTCAAGATTTCTTACAAATGCCATACCTCTTTTTTTCCAGCATTAAGCTAAACTATGGTGCAACTTTCAATCATTTGTTAGCATTAAATTAGTGAACAGATTCATTTCCTATGGTGCTTTTTTGGCCGTGCCTACCTCCCAGAACCATTTATACCACATTCAAACACAGAGATGCAAGTAGTAACTTGGGAGGCGAGTAACATGTGAAAGTAGTCTCTGTAAACTGCCTTGAGATGAAATGTGTTGCGAATCTGCGCTATATAAATAAACTGAATTAAATAACATGTGATAAGAAGGCGCAGCTAGAATGCTTTTGTGTATTTGCTTTTGCCAGCTTGTTTTTCTAGTCTTTGCCAATATGAACCTGTATATTGTGATGAAAAATGATTAGGACCAATTTTACGTTTACCTCCGTGCCATTTTAATTTATGCACCCACTCAATCAAATTAAAATAATGTGTCTCTCCATGTTTAATCCCCATTTATCGTTTTTATAGTCTTTTCAAAAACTGCCTTTTAAACAGATCAAATGAATGTTTTTGAATGCCTGCTTTACTTACTTTAAGAAAACAATAAAAAATTTTGCACACTTCAAACCATGTGTATGATTTATTTCAAAAAAGGTTCATCTGCAAGACAATGTCATGTCTCCATAAAATTCACTTTTTGCACATTTCATGACATCAAATGGTTAAAAGTTAGGCTTAAACTTTAGGTGGGGGATCGATTATATAATTTAAAGAAACAAATGAATTTAATGTGAGTAAATGAGAAATAACAGCTTAGTCTTCACACTCAGGTAAAAAAAAAAGATTAGAGTTTATCTAACAAAAAATAAAAGAAATTCAGCACATGAACTTTAGACTCTTTACATGTTATTTACATACAATCTGATTTCCTATTATTTAAAGGAGACAAAACTAAACTTGAAGGAGGAATCTTTCTTGAATAACTTACTTTTTCCTAAGATTACAATAGAATAAACTAAGTTGAAAGGTTTCCTGGTTTATATTTAAATTAGCTGTGCAGGATTCTTGCTCACATGGAAGATTTGATTCTTTGGTTCTCAGTGAATCAGCCTGCAGCCAATTCTTCTTCTGGGTAGTTTCCTCCCCAAAAGCTATTTAATGCAAATCGCTTCTGAGATAAATGTGCCATTGAAAGCAGAAGTTCTGTCCTGCCATGACACAGAGCTTCAGTTCAGGATCAGATGTTTAAAGCTGTAGGTCCTTTCACCAGGCCCTGCTCTTTGCGCATCACCGGCGCATAGATACTGCAGTCCCTCATCTCACAAAATCCCGGGACGCCTGGGAACCCGACCATACCAGGTGACCCTACCGGGCCAGGGAAACCACGAGGCCCACGTGGACCCTCAGTCCCGTCCCTTGGTTCTGCTGAGTAACCCGGCTCACCTGGAGAAAGTTAGGGGAAATCGAAAGTGTTCAGAGAGGCTTTCTAACATTTTTATGGAAAAGCCAAATCTCTTATTTGGTACTACAAGAGTTTTTAAGCAAAATTTTCTGAAAAACCCTTATGGAAACGAGAAAAAAATAAAATCCCTCTACCTCTGGGTCCCTGTGGTCCGTCTGGGCCCGGCAGGCCTTTACCTGGATCACCTGGGATGCCTTTGGCTCCCTTTGGACCTGCAGAGAGAAACACATAAAGCAGTTTGGGAAAATCTTTGAGCCAAAACAAAAAACTTTAGATTTAGAGGAATTATCAACTGGGATATATTTCCTCTCTCAAAGGTTTCATTTGTTTTTGTTGTTTTTTTGTTTGTTTTTTGTCTGGTGGTTTTAAATTATGATTTCATTTATTAAATTAAAAAAAATAATCCAAACCTCTAGTTTAAATTGTGAGTCAGGAGAGTTCAAACTAAAAGACTGATTGTCTCATCCAGGAAGTGAAAAATGAAACAGAACATCTAAAGCTCTGAGTAAAACCCCAAAACCACTGCTGACCTGAAAAAACACAAAGAACCAAAAAAAAAACGCAGTGGCTACTTAGAAAATAATCATAAATTGAATAATAAGCTTCTAAAAGTATTGATAACACAAAACCGATATGAAGACATTGTTTGAACGTAAGAAATTACATTTTATGTTGTTTTAGGAAAAGAAAACAGATATGAGATATTAAGATATAAGCTGCAGCTTGGATTTCATTTTCATATCAGTTTAACATTAAAAATAAATCACAATATTACTGGAAATACTGATAAATGGGGAGGGGAGGAAATCTTTGATCACTTATTAATATGCAAATGTTTTTGTTTTTTTTTACAGATTTTGTTGTTAAGATTTTGTCCCTTCTGAGTTAAATAAAATTATCATAATATATTTTTTTTCCTTAAATCGGGTGAAATAATAAATGAAAACAGGATCCTGGGTTATTTTCTCTCAATTTGGGTAAAGATGTATTTTAATAAGCCAAATGTGTTGTCTTATTGTCCTTTAATATGGTTGTTTATGGCTGAAGCTGCTCTTGTCAGCTGCAGAATTAGCAGAATAATTGTGTTTTTCCTGAACTGATCAGTTAGAAAAGGTCTGAGCTGCTGGTCTCTTTCCATCCTGCAGGTAGATTTACCTCTGCTGCCTTCGGCTCCTTTCTGCCCCTCCAGCCCTCTTTGACCTTGAACACCTCGGGCTCCTTTCTCTCCAGGTTTTCCTGCTTTACCCTGGTTATTAAAAACAAAAATGTTATTTGATTCCCCCACAAAGTCTGACCTACAAATTTTAAAATCACTTCCTAGAATGAATCGAAATCATGATCTGTGAACAGCAGAACCAAAGGCAACATTTTTCTAAAAGACTGATCATAAATACACAACTGTATGGGAGCTGAAGCTAATTTGAAAATATTTTATCTGTTTTCAGCAGATCTAATGAAGCCATCCAGGTCCACAGATCAGGAAAATTGAGTGTAACTGTCTCATTAGTGAACCTGAAGAAGCACTTACAGCTTTGCCAGGTGATCCCTGAGGTCCTTGGGCCCCTGGAGGGCCGATCAGAGTCCGGTTGTTGATGGGGCAGCCCTGGGTGCACTTGGCCCTGATTGATGCGGCGTATTGGGCCAACTGGGCTGTGACCACGCCTTGGCAGAGCTGCAGGACCTGCTCGTCCGTCAGACCAGGACCCTTCAGGAGCAAAAACAACCCAGATTATCTTCTGATACAAAACATCAACATGCTGATGAAGGTTCTCGGTCATCCAGGTCATAGTCATCCCGTAAAAATTCAAAAAATATCCACTGGACTTGGTTTTCAAGATTTGAAGACGTTTCGCCACCTCTCCAGGAAGCTTTCTCAATTCAAATGTCTGGATCCGCAGTGAGTTTGAGTCTTATATGGACAACGCCTTGTATTGCTTGGAAACATGCAAATGGTAACCGATGAATGGGTCGTTTAGTTCCATCGTTAGCCTGTAATATCTGAACCTGTCTATGATCCTAGGGGTCGGTCGTTAAAGGGGGGATTGCCATTAAGGGGGGGGATTGTCTCCTGTAATACCTGAAACCTGTCTATGATTGTTAAGGGTCGGTCGTTAAGGAGGTATTGTTCACCCGCTGGAGCGGTTAGGTCCCTCGTTCCTCTGTGATGGGGTGGGGGGTTTGGTGATATCTGGAAGGGATCATGTCTATGATTGAATTGTATGTTTTTGGAAAAACCAACTTTAAACAGAGGTGGTGGACTCAGATTCCAGCTTCCAAAAACGAGGGACCTACCCGCTCCAGGGACCTACCCGCTCCAGCCGGTGAACAATACCTCCTTAACGACCGACCCATAGACAGGTTCAGATATTACAGGCTAACGATGGAACTAAACGACCCATTCATCGGTTACCATTATGTTTCCAAGCGATACAAGGCCTTGTCCATATAAGACTCAAACTCACTGCGGATCCAGACATTTGAATTGATAAAGCTTCCTGGAGAGGTGGCGAAACGTCTTCAAATCTTGAAAACCAAGTCCAGTGGATATTTTTTGAATTTTTACGGAAAAACATCAACATGTTTGAACAAAACTAATTAGAGTAAGGCTTCAGGAATCAAAAAAAGTTTCTCATCACTTATTAAACTTTAGCAGGAAAGAAAGAATGCAGCAAAAGTAAGTTAAGTTTGTCTTTAGGATTTCTTCTGATTTTTGGCCTTTAAACTCCTGCTTCAAACATTTCAAGAGTCAAGCTTCTACATTTAGTTACTCACAGCTGGACCTAGAACTCCTTTCGGTCCTGCTCTGCCCCTGCCACCGGGATCACCGGTTGGACCGCGGCCTCCTCTGGGGCCAGGGCCACCAGGCGGTCCAACAGGACCCGGGACGCCGATACGGCCCGGTGCGCCCTTTGGTCCTCGCTTTCAGGAAAAAAATGTGATTAAAGCAAGAAAAGAAAAGTAGAGACAAAACAATTGTTTAGTTTTTTCTGCTCATAGACTCCTGGATTTCTGATTTGTTGCAAATAAGGTGCAATTTTCTCAGCATCTTTAACATCTTTACTAATACATGTTTGTGTGATAATTGGATTCAAGCAACAATATCCTTAATCTGATTTTTTTTTTTGACAATTCACTCCATCTCAACCAGAAAGGATAATAATTAAGATGAAATTGTTCATCAAGATACATTTTTTTAATCTACTTTAGAAAAGACTTATGGTAAACTGCAATTGTACTTGTCCATCATCTGTTTGCCAAATTTTTGTCCCTAAAAAAGAGATTGTACTTTGGTTGAAATACATAAATTTAATATATTAACTTTTGAGGAAATAAAAATAAGGATAGAGGTATGTTTCTTTAAATTTGTCTGAATACAGCTTCTGTTTTTTTAACCTAAAGGCAACAAGTGAACTAATAATACTGATAGGTGATATTTTCAGTATGAACAAAGGATTATTTGACATTGACAAAGGTAGAGTCTGTTTTTTCCAGATCAATGCATTCCTGCACCTGCTGTGACTGTAAATACATCAGAATCACTTAGATCACCTCTCCTTTGTCTCCACGGTCACCCTTTCCTCCCTGAAAGGTGAACAAAGAAAAATGTAGAAATACGTAAAAAGTCTCGGAGTGTAAAAGAGGAGCAGCGTAAACTTAATGAAAGCACAGCTTTGTCACATTTTAATTACCTTTTGGCCGTTCTCTCCCTTGAGACCTTTCGTCCCAGCTGCCCCCTAAAAAACATGTCAACAAAAGAAGCATCGATAAAAAGAGGAAGACTCGATTAGTCATAAGTTTCACAAAAACATCATCTGACAGATTGTAGTTTACTTAAGCTCAAACATAGAGAAGGGCAACCAAAAAGAAAAATGTCAACACAAGATAGGGATTTCCCTTTTTGGCACGGGGAGATTTGCTGGTTTGAAGTTTGACCTTTGTTGTCACACAGTATTGCATGTTCCTCGCGAGTTTAACTGATTATCCTTCAATCACGAGGTGACTGGGTCCATTCCAGATCTCCTTCTAGTTCACATGGTGCATTGTGTAAAACGTTGCATGAAAAAACATGATCCTGATTTATGAGACTCTATAGATCCCAATGCAGCATATTCAATAAAATAAAAGCTCAAATCTGACAGATACACATCTGTGCTTTTAAATCTTTATTATCTAAAAGTTCCTACAAGCAAAGAACTTTTCTCGTTTTCTTAATGTTCCCTTCATTAATTATCTTTTTTCATTGCTGACACAGATCATGACAGTCTCATGCCTTTCAGTAGAACATCACACAGCCTCTCATAAGGTGTCATGGTGTCATGTGCTCCTCAGGCGAGTAAAGCACATACATCTGATTGTTTGGGTTTTGTAAAACCAAACCAGCTTTTATGTACATTCCTTTCTGGTGCAGTTCAGACCCAAACATCCCCAAAGTTGACTTTTTTTAACATAGGCCTGCAGTCAGAGTGAGTATCCTGTGTCTGTAGCTATGCAGCTACAGATGCAACAAACTGTAATGCACTTTCTGTGTTCAAAGGTCTACCAGAACCAGAATTTTAATTTATGTGATTTGACCAACTGTCGCTAAACTCAAGGTTCAGAGTTTTTAGATCAAAGATATACAATTTGAACTTAATTAACCAAAATATTTCAGAATTTCAAAGACTATTTAAAAATCTGATAGCTACAAGTTTGACTCCCCCGGGTCAGCTGGTGGCACACTTGTGCTCGCCTGATCTCGTTTCAACCTTCAATTTTAATGTTTGCCAGCCTGTTTACCTGTCCAGAAGGAAAAATGCATCTCATGGCTTTGAGCTCGTTAGTTTAACGGTCCCAATGTTCACCTTTGTTTTTTCTTTTGGCTAAATTGTCAAAAAATAAAAAGCAACGCAAAGACAACGTTACTAAGATCCGGCAGGACCTGAGCTCCATCCCTGATGATTTTTAACCTGTTTTAACTTTTGGTGCAGAACCCTTTTGTGTTCAGGCTGGCATCGTAACCAGAAGTAAATATTTTGATATGTTGGGCCCGTCAAAATAAAAGAAATATTAACTATCTAGATATACTATTTCTTTCTGTTATATGAATACTTTTTTCTGCACCAGTCCAAATGTTCTTATGTCTTATTTTTAAAGATGAAAAAATTGTAGCTATAACATTTGGATTATTATTAAATACATGCAAATACCAAGATTTAAAGCTGCACTTAGTAACTTGAATTTTTTTTTTTTATTTACATATTTTTAAAAACTGTCACTATGGCATTAAAATATGACACAGATAATTAGTGTGGAAAAGCAAGCTCCTCTGCCTCCCCGGTCAGACACAACCATTCATGGCCAGAAGGAATGTCTTAGGTTATGTTCACACTTCCTGCTGAAGTCACCCAAATCCGATTTTGCGGCCAATATGCGACCTGTATCTGATCTTGTCATGACATTCTAAAAAACACAGATCAAATTTGTTCAAATGCAACTTGTTCAAAGGCCACTTAGGCTATATTCACACTGCAGGCCGTAACGCTCAATTCCGATTTGTTTGTGAAATACTATTCCTTTGCATGGTCGTTCACATTTCCAAAAATATGTGAACTCCTGTGTGAACTGCATTCATACAACTTAAGTGCGCTTACAATTTAAGTATGCACAGAAGGGGATATAATGACATCACAGGCAAGTGTGCGCTATGTTTACGGAAGTAAACATGGATGGTAAAGCTGGAGCACGTCTTGCAATCTTTAATTTCATTTCTAACCTCAGCCGTGCATCAACAATACAATCTTTTCAAGATGGTTGAAAATAAAGACGGTTCTCCGTATTATCGTCTGCAGAATAGTGACCATTTAGTATTAATGACTTTCAGCTTGGATTAATGGGACCTGGCAGTTCAGACACAGGTCACATTTGAAAAGATCAGATTTGTAACAGATTCAGGACCACATAGCCAATAGGCCTGGGTCATACTGGAAAAAATCAGATTTGTGTCACTTCAAGCTGCTGTGTGACTGTAGCCTTAGCTATGTGGTCCTGAATCCGATACAAATCTGATCTTTTCAAATGTGACCTTTGTCTGAACGGCCAGGTCGCATTCATCCGACCTGAACGCCATTAATACTCAACAAAGGTCACTATTCTTCGTCGTGCTATGCATAAGTGGGAAGTAAAACAAAAACCATGAAGGAAAAAAACGCAGACAGCAGTCTTTATTTTCAACTTTCTGGAAAAGAATGCATCAATAATTTACTCGTTTCTGGTTGGAAAAGAGATGAAAGATTGCAAGATGTGCTCCAGCACTACTATCCATGTTTTCAGTTCCGTAAACACAGAGCATGCTCGCTTGCTTGTGACATCATTGCATCCTTTACTGTACATGCAGGACATTTTGTTGTATGAATGCAGTTCACACAGGAGATTACATACAAGTCGCATATATGGAAATGTGAAAAACAAGGCAAAACAATTGGATTTTAGAGAAAAAATTTGGAATTGAACATTAAGTTACAATTAATATTGTAACTTTTTAAACATAATAACGTGTTTCTGAGAGGGACCAGTTCAAATGAACCTATAATACAAAGAGATACATCAAAAACATATAGAGTTTCATTTATATATTATTGTTGAAAGCAAAGAACACATTTTTATAAAACTCACCTTCACCCCATCAGGTCCTGTCTCTCCTTTGCCCCCCTAGAAAAAATAAATTTGTAAAACATAGAAACTTTTTAAATGTAAAAAAAAAAAAAAAAATAATCAGTTTATTTCCAAAGTAAACTAATATAACATCCTGTCACAAAAACATTTTCATAGATAGGCGTCTGAAGTTCCAGATGATTTTGACATAGACCTAACAAATAAAATGAATCAAAAAAAGAAATAAGTGCAACCTGGAAATCTAAAGATTAAAAAGATAAAGAAAAATCCATCTAATCATAGCATTCTGGATATTTGGATTATAGCAAATTTTGATAATTTGCAATTAAAAAGAATATATTTTTTTGTTTTGCAGTTTTTAAAACTGATCTTAAAATCAGTAAGAAAGCAAATTCAAATAATTTCAGTCATATTTTGCAAAGGTTTTCAGTAAAAACATTATGATTTATGAATTTTCACACAAAACTGATTAAAATTTAAACTTTAAATCTTATTTCTTGCTGTGCACATACTTTTGGACCCTGAAGACCTTTGGGTCCATGTTTTCCTGGTATTCCCGCATCTCCAGGTTCTCCTTGATCTCCCTGTTGGACAAAAAACAAAAATGTAATTAAGTTGAAATCTTTTGGTTTCAACATATTTTTTTTAAAACTAGTTATCAACATCTACAGACCCCTAGAATAACTGTATTAGGAATGCTGACATGACATAAATCAACTCAAAATGTTTAAAACTGATGTATATTAGGAGAGAACCAAGAATCAAATCACTGGTTGCAACTTATAAAAGAAAATTGAAGAACCAAACTAAAGAAACCATTTTTTTTAAGGTTCTGTTTGATGAAATCTAATTATATAACCTTAACTCTAATGATCCCTTGAAAGAAAACTTTCAGGAAACTTGAATATCTAGCAGCTAACACAGGTAATTTTGCAGCAGTAACAATTATTTGCAAATATTTATGAATAGATTTAGAAAAAGAAGTTTGATTTAAGAAACAAAGAGTGACGTTAAACTTTTAAGCAACAATGTTAAACTGAGTCCACAGCTTTCCAAGATAATCCATGTTCCACAATCCTTTATCCTAACTTTATTAGGATTTTGTTCTTTTATATTCAATCCCATTTATTGCGACACCTCTAAACAAAAACATCAGCTGCCTTCACAGTTCGTCTAAACAGTAAATAGAGTCCATGTTTGTAAAATATAAGAGAAAAAACAGTATATGTATCAACAGCAAGAGCAACAAGAACATTCCTTTGTAAAGAAACTAAAAGGTAACTCTGGAGGAGCTACAAAGATCCAAAACTCAGGTGGGAGAGTCTGTAGACATGAAAACGCCAATGTCTGCCACAAGCTGTTTGAGACTCAACAAACATGTGGACGAAGGTGCTGTCTCATGCAAAGTGTTATATTAGGAGGAGAGCACTGCCTGCCTCATAGCAGAAATATGCTATGGTTTAAAGTTCTGAAAAAATGCAAAGTTAAAGGTAGAGTGGAGGATGTTCATCATCAAAATAAGTGGTCCTCCTAATTGTCATGGTGATATATCAATGGTGATATATTTACGTGCTCGTCCCCTTTTTCATTTACCAGCGGTGAGTCTGACATAGTGGAAAAATTGCAAATTTTCTTTTGGAAAGAAAGTGTGTATGAGCGATGCAATAGGCTCGTGCATGCTCATTTTTTTGTTTAAAGTGGAGAGGACGGGTCTTTTAAAGGATTTGCATAAATCCTCCACTATACCTTTAAAGGTCTAATGGAGGATTTCTTATCTGACTAAGCTTGAGCTATTTTGTGAAGCAGAATGGGCAAAATCAAATAAAGATCAAGTAAAGCGCATGCATCGCCCTTTCCTTCCATCCCTGTTATTTTGTTTGATTGGTTCATAAATGTTACCTTTTTGTTTAAATTGAGACTCTAACGTTTGTCTATGTTGTGTCATTTTTATCATGTACTACATGGACAAAGAAATACTGGCTTCAAGAGTCAACCAAAAAATATTGGCAGCACAAATTGAGGATCGGTTAGATTGGTGTTAGAATAAACCGTATCGGTCGATCTTTGCTCTGTATGCATACAAAGCTGGAAGACTGTTTTCCCACTTCTACTCTCTGATGGTCTATAACAGGGGTCTTCATCTCCAGTCCTAGAGATCCAGTCTCCAGTATCTTAAAGTTAAATAATCAGGTCATTAGAAGGACGAAAGGTGAAAAAGACTACAAGCCTCCTCCCTGCTGCCCTCTGGGAAGAGGCTTTGCAGCATTGGATGCAGGGCCAGCAGATTCTGCAACGGCTTCTTCCCCACCGCCATCAGACTGCTGAACTATTGAAAAAACTCTGAATCAAGTCACAGACTCTGCATCACACTGATAACAACAAACCAATATTCTGCATATTTGCACCATATATATTTGTCTTGAAATGATCTGAACTTCCATATCAGTGCGTTTTGCACCACATTTTTTCTCCCACACTGTTTACACTCGATCACTGCTGCACTTTATGGAATGGAAATGTTCTTTTCACGGCTCAGTTGCTGCTTATTTACTGTCTGTAAGCTGTACAAAACGAAATTTCAATAAAAATTGTCTAGGTCTAAAAAAAATGCTGAGGAGATATTTCAGCCATTTGATTTAGTTGTAGGGAAGCAGAGACCCATCTGAAAGGTGCAGAACCCTTGACCTCCAGGACCGGAATTAAAGACCCCTGGTCTAGAACCTCAGTTCAGTACATAAATAAACCAATAAGAATAATTTACAGTTCTGCTGCATGAGCCTCATGTAGGGAATTATCGACCATGGTTTGAAATTCACTGGAGTCATTCATTCAGTCAAACATTCAGAGATTAGACTTAAAATGCAGTACAGTCAAAACACACAAAAGGGCTTTTGGCAAAAGCTCAAATAATAACCTTTATAAGACACAATCATGTTGATCAGAGTGTTAATATTTTTGTCTTTAAGGGGAAGTCCCTCATGTTTCAGATGATAAGGTCACTGGTTATGTTGACATTCACGCCCACACAGCTGCTGACCAATATGCCCTCACTGACACATTTATATTATAAAAGGTTTTACTATTATATATCTATCAGGATGTATAAAAAAATTCTCTAAAACCTGATTAACTGCTGCATTAATAAAAGGACTCTATTGATTGATCAGTTAAAATCTTTATGATCTAAAATTGTACTATTAAACTTAGAAACAGAGATTTTAAGTTAAGGTCATACATGATTAAGTTTTTGGTTAAACTAGCTATCAAATGTAATCATTGCTTTTACAGGTAAATGCACTTCAATAAGCATCAGATTGAAATTAGAATGACTATCATTACTGAAAAGGTATTTTCTTGTTTCACAAGAAAGCAGACTGTTCTCACTTCCTTTTCGATCTGTCAATTCGAATACCAGATGTTAGGACTTCCTAAAGACTGCCGATACACAAGAATAACCCTTTTATGCAAAACTAAAGGAAGTTACAAAGAATAAAAAAAAAAAACTAAACCAAAAGTGGGGGACACCCAGCGAGAATTTCATTTCATTTAAAACAAACCCTAAATGAAACTGGCTGGGTTTCTGTTAATAAGCCACGATTAACTGAGATGAGTTGGCTGTAATTCATTACAGATGCATAAACATTAAAGGTTTATTGATTGATTGTTTTATTATTCATCAGAATATTTCATTATTCTTGAAAGTCAGTGACTCAGTGAGTCAGAGATTGTAAAAGGAACTACAGTAAAATCAAAATCTTACCACCAGTGATGGGAGTAACGGCGTTACTAACACCGTTACTATAACAACCCGAACACACAGGATTAGACATCCCCAGTTATTAATTTCATACACTCACCAGATCTGAACGCCCTGTTAAAAAACTTCACACCCATGAGTAGAGGTAATGCAGCCTGATGAATATTTACACCGCATCAGATACCGTTCCCCCATGTTAACCCTCTCCAGGCAGATGTTGCAGATTTGCAACAGCTAAATGACACTTAGCTAATTACTCCACATCCGTATTTAAGAGCTTTTGTTATTCAGAAGTAAAACAGAAGGACTTAGTTGTGCATATGCAACAAACAATTTCTCTCCAGCTCACCAGATAGCACTGCTGACTCACTTTCAAAATGGCTGAGTCCTGGGTGTCACTGAAACAGATTTTCTAAGCACCAATTTCATCTAAGTATCACTACCGATTTCCATTATTTTGAAATCAATATTACATAAGATGAATCATGAATGTGTATAGATATGACACATGCTTATTAGTAGATTTGATCTCCTCTGGGGTTTTTCACCAGAGGCATCTCGATTTCAATGTTGTGGATTTGCAATGTGTGCCCAAACAGGTACCAATGGATGCAACATGCTTTATCTACTATTTTGCCTATATTTCTTAGAAACAGTTTAACAGAAACGGCCTTCTCAAGAGGTTTTGAGATGTCGGTGGAGAAAAAGTTTGAGAAAAACTTGTCTCTAATTTTGTGAGAGAATTTGTTTTTCCAATTTTGTTTTGTTAATTTGTTGTTTGCAACATTCAAATAAAGTTAACGTTCATATCAGATTCAGTCTACAGTGTTAATTTACCACTCTGGGCCACTGTTGAAAATCTGCAACATCCTAGAATTCATTGCATTTGAGGGTCTCTCAAATGCAATGAATTGTATGTAACTACCCTAGGGTGACCATATTTTCATTTGGAAAAACCAGGACACCTTGGAGCGGGGGTGTCTGTGGCATGCACTCACTTAACATAGGCCTACGTAATCCTACAATAACATTATATTTACAGTTGATTTATCAAAAATGCTTTTCAGTAAAAGTCAACAGCAATAACTCCAATAACAAACAATACATTTATTCAAAATGTATTTATTAAAAATGCTTAACAATTCCTGTAATGAATGAATAGCACAATGAAAGAAATAATGTCTCATCTAAACATCCCTCACTTAACAATAAAAGTTAACAATAACTCTCAACTCCCAATAACAGATGATACTCAGCCTCAGCAATGAACGAAATAATGTCTGTTCTGTAGGCTATTGGAAAAAATAAATTAACAAATGAGCTAATTAACAAAAAATACCTCTTGTGTAGCAAAAATAACTCAAAATGTACCAAAAACGAACAAACATATCAATAGACTATCTTTACTTTCAGTGTCCAGGTGGCTTTTCAGATCCCATTGGACATATGGGAGACATATGTGCCTGCTTTGCACACTGTGCACAAGGCCTTCCAATGTGTCTCGACCCAGTCAGAAAGCGGGGAAACTCTTTTGTAAATCGTCAGTAAACATACATTTGCGATTTTGCATGATGTTGGCGTACTGACAGCCACGCAATCTATATTCTGATTAAGAACAGGGCTGCCCGCACTGACGCGGCTCAGGGATTACGTCACACGCAGCGTCGTGCGCAGTGCCCTAGTGCCTGTAAATTTAATGGTCCAATTAAGGTAATTTAAAAAATCAGGACATTTCCTCACTTTCTAAAAAATAAACCAGGGACGCCCGGGACAGGACGTGAAATACGGACATGTCCCGGGAAATACAGACGTTTGGTCACCCTATACTACCCCATATGATCATTTTCTCAAAATATCAGATTTTTCTTGCTGCTACAACTTAATTTGAGCCTGAGAGTATTAAAAAGAGGGAAACGCTATCTGACGGGGTTTATAGGCCCATCAGATAGCGTTCCCCCGTGATGTCATTTACGTTGAGTTGCAATAAACGCAAACCTCTCTGCAGGTTCTTGTCTTTGTCGTCAACTCTATTCAGCTGCCTTTTGAAACACACGGAGAGAAGGTGGGGACCAGGTGGTGAGGGTTACGGGGGCGAGAAACACAAAAGTAAAGCAATAGTTACTTTTACTAGTAACTAGTTACTTTTATTGTGGAGTGACTCAGTTACTTTTTGGGAGAACTAACTAGTAACTATTACTAATTACTTTTTCAAAGTAACATGCCCAACACTGCTTACCACTAGGTGGGCTGTTTAGCACTGTCTGCAGACCAAGATAAGAAGTGTAACAAGCCACAGCACCGCCTCCTCCACTCCAGCTGAAATCCTGTCCTAACGCCCCCTCTTCCATCCCTTTGTCACCTGCCGCCTCTTGTGTGCAATTTTGTGAAAGTATATACACAGCAAAACAGATTTAGTTTTCAGAATAATTTAAGAAGTAACAAATAACTATATAATGCTGTCAGCATTGGAAATCATGTTGAATAGTTTTCTAAATATTTACACCATAATCAAAGTTTTTCACCGTTTGCATCAAATGGTGTAGGTTTGCAGCTAATGGTGTTAGCAGACGCTCTAGTTAGTGACGTAATTACAAAACAGCATTATTATGCAACAAATGTGCTAACTTCTTAACCCAAAAAATAAAAAGATTAAAGTTTAAAATGTGTCCCCAACTATTAGATTTTGCCAAAATGTCCCAGTTCTGCCAAATACTCTTAAAAGATCTTAAAAGAAATTGTTCACCAACTATGCTCTTCATCATGCCATCTCAGTGTTTTTTCCCCCAAGCCTTTTCGTCAGATAGTTCTGCCTGTTATAGCGCATGATTTAACTCTAATAAAAGACACGTCCCTTTTGCCAGGTGTTTTCCTCCAGGCCGAACAGCTCTTGAAAAACAGCGACTTGGACAAGCTGCTACTGCAGAACTACAGGCCTCAATCCCCCTTTTCATCAGTGAGATCACTGAAATAACAGTGTTTAAACAGCACAACAATTTCTTAAAGGCACACTATGCAACATTTTTCAGTTAATTAATGTGTTCCATAACGTTTTGGATGATTAAATGAGTCATTTCAGGTTGAACAAAGGTATTCTCGGCCGCCCTGGTGGTCTGTGGGGGAAATACTGCACTTGCAATTGCAGGAGCACCGACCCGCACCCACAGGCTCAGAGGTCTCGTGAGAGTCAGTCTTGCTTTACGGCGAGAACTGCTACACGCCCCCAGTTAAAAGCATTCTCGTTGCTAGCACAGTGGCGATCTTTGTGCAGTTATGCTACGTTCACATCGGACGCAGCAAAATCCTGTCTGCTGCTTCATTTTTGCTGCTTGTACCAGTTAGTTCTGACGCGCGGCTGAAGCAGCTTTGCTGCTCTGGCTGCGCGGTGCAAAAGTGTGTCTGACGCGCTTTGGGCGGAGCTTCACTATCCTTTCTCTGCCTTGCAGCTATATTTGCTGTGATCATTTGGAATAAAGTAGTTTTAATATGTGTTTAAGTGAGAAAATACACCTGAAAACGTAATCAGTGGCGTCAGTTCATTCAGATTATTATCCTGCCCTCAATATTTTTTCTTTCGGAGCCGCTCAGACCCCCACATACCAGCGGTGCGCCGACAGTAGGGATCCCTTCATCAGCAGCCTCTGGCCTGGTCGCCTCCTCGCGGTTCACCACGGCAGCTGGTAGGTGTTTTTCATCTAAATAATCCAAACTGCATATTCTGCCGGCAGATTTCTGCATTTTAAGTTAATTTAGGCGTCAATAAACTGTTTAAGAGGAGTGATGATAGCGCTCTGATCATCAGCGCTGTGTCTCTCTCCCTGCGTCAGATGCTTAAACGCGCCCGATGCGCTGCTTCAGCTGCTCAGACGTGCTGCGCCTGCTGCTCAAAACGCGCCGCGGGACCTTTTGCTGCGCCTTGACGTTACGTTGCATGTAAACTCGCTGCTTCTGTCGCGCCAGCTGCGGTGTGAACGCAGCATTAGTAATTCGTTGCGTTCTCCTGTCTGCTAAGCTAAAAAAAAAAACGCGCCTGGCTTGACGGAGAAACCAGGAGAACAGCTGTGCATATTTACGACAGTGCACTTTTACTTTCGCCCTCTGGGGGGAGCCTCGCTGGAAAATCAACACCGGTTGCATAGTGTACCTTTAAAGTTCTTCACACCGAATGCAAAACCTGCAAATATTTCAACAGTTCCGTCACCTTTTGCTTGACTTGATATTCGACTGCCCAGTGAAAGCATTTCGCACGCATTCAAATTCGCCAGGTAGGCAAAAGCCTCCTACATGCTGCTGGTCATTGTTCCCCAAGGGTCCATTCTAGGGTGCCTCCTATTCAAAATCTACATAATTGATAAGATTTATGGATTTTAAAAAATGCTAATATCAAGTTATGTTTTCCTAAGACCGGCAGCTTACAGTAATGACTATTTATTTGTTTTTTTATATATCTTTATATTTTCATTTATTTATTATTTTTTTTAAAATATTAATGAAGAAGGAAATTTTCCTTCAGTTTATAGAGGAAATGCTTTCATGAAGGACTTAAAGCTTTATTATGGATCCAGGCATACATCCCTAACCTTCATTAGATAATTATAAAATTATTAGAAAATGTTTTCTTTTTTCTTATGTTTTAATCTTTTTTTTTAATTGAAGTAGCAACAAAGAATAAAATGAAGTTAAATGAAAAAAACACAAACAACCCAGAGGAGATTTAGGGTTCAGGGTAAGTTTTAGGGATGAAATGGTTCAGGTTAGCTTTGTGAAAATGCCTTATGTGTGCATGAGATTAACATCAGATGAAACATCAGTAGATAAAATTAAAAGTGACCATATTTATTTCTTAAGGTCTGGCTGAAAAATTTCCCCAATTAGTGTGAAAGAAAAACCCATTATAAAAAACAACCAGACAAAGTAAAAAAAAAAAAAAAGTACTCAGTAGTTATCTAGAAAAAAACCCCATCAGGCTTTTCTCTGGAAGACAAAGATTTCTCATGTCTAGACACTAACAGTCTTGTTCCTTAAACTCACCACTCGGCCCTCTCTACCACGGGGTCCCCGCACACCACGATCACCTTTATTGCCCTATACAGGAAAAGAACAGGAACAGTTGGAAATTAATGAGAAGAATAATAACATGGAATTCAAATAAACAATAAAGTGGGACTTTCTGTTTGGGGGAGCGGTGGTATTTCCAGAAATTGCTATTTATGGCAGGCTGTTAGACGGACTTGTTTTGGAAAGAAAATCCAAAAGTGCTGCCAGCATGTTACGCAACAAAATTTCCAAAGAACTACAGAACCTGAAAAACAGGCCTTGAGGGTAAAACATTAGCTGAACCTTTCATTAAGATTTGTGTTACAATCAATAAACTGTACAGAGAATCAATTATGAAGAGAAAACTAGCTGTTGGTTTTTCCTATCTGAGTTAGAGCTACAAGATAAGCAGTACGGAAGAGGATTAGGGCCACTGGAAAAAAAATAAGTTTACTGATTATTAAATCTTATTTCAGTTTAGTATTGGTAGGATTTATACTTCTACTTATGTAATAATATTAAAACTTTTTACACCCCTGTTCTCAAAATTCTGACTTTTTTTAATATCAAAATTCAGTCAGAATTCTGAGAAGATAGTCAGAATCTGAGATTAAAGTCAGAATTCTGACTTTTTTCCCATACTAAACTGAAATAAAATTTAAAAATCGGTTAACTTTTTTTTTTTTTCCAGTGGCCTAATCCTCTTCCGTAAAGCAGGAAGAAGCCATCCCAGAAGAAAAAGATTTACCAACAGAGATTCACTGCCTTTAAACAAGAAATCCGAATATAGCCGAATACAACCTTAGGAGATAAATATAAAAGCTTTTTTTTTTTTTTTTTATTCGAAGGCAGTTATGTTAGCCCACGATTTAGACCAGCGTATGCCTGATTTACGGAAAATCTGGCAAAAATGCTAGCATACGTTGGATAAGTTATGGGTACGTCTTGTATAAGTTATGAGATCGCTGAAGTACGCTGAAACACACTAGCATACATCGACATACGTTAATAATTTTTGAGCATGCTCAAAATGCTTTCAACATATGCCAGTGTATCCTATACATGGGGCATAAGTTACAGGTAAGTTATCTGATCGTTGACATACGTTAAGTGTAATATACTCATAAGTCGTGGCGTCTAGCTTAACCAAAACTTGTGCAAAACTTGTGCGTAACTTATCAAGAACTTATCTCCAACACATATCAACGTATCTGATGTGTTCTAGACAACCACTGAATATGTTTCTAACTTACAGCTGCCATTTGATGGCATATACGCAACGTTTTGGTATAGAAGCGGAAAACGTCTGTTCTCCAGACTTCATCCCCATCATAGCGTGAGCGACAAGGTGAAACTTTTTAGAAGACATGACGCTGAATCTGCTGCGACTGCAAATTTTCTTTTTTCTTTGTATTTATTTATTCTTTCTTTTTTCGGTGAGCGGTATATAGCAGCTAGGTTAGTACTGTGATCAAATACATCTTTTTATACAGGCAGGACGCCTCCGGGTGCATCACTGCCCCCTCAGGACAGGACTCGAGCTTTTACATCATTTAATGGGCAATAAGCTGTCATGCATTATGCATAAGTCAGGCTGTTGTTGGACATATGTTCTGGAATCGTTATGAATACACTATTTATACACCCAAAATTTATAAAAATACTATACATATCAGCATATGCCAGCTTTTTATGAGATTTATGGACGTCAGGCATAGGCTGTCTAAATCAGCAAGGTGTGACAGAGTCTTTAGAGTGGGTCTTTCTGAACTAAAGCAAAGGCCTCTGAAGATTGCCTTGAATTAAGCTTAACCCTTTACTGAAAGGAACCTTAAAGCTAATGTATAGATAAATTATGTATACAAACTGTCACGATTCTTAGATAGCCAAAGGACAAAAATTGTATCATTCCGAGCAATATTTATCTTTTAAAAAGTGAACAGTTACCTTAACACCAAACGGTCCTGGTTCTCCTATCGAACCTGTGACTCCTGTCGGACCCTAAATAGGCCAAACAAAACAATCTTTAGGATAGCTCCAGCTGACATGACATTTTCTGTCATTTTAAGGGCTTAGATTTAACCACTCACATCCTCTCCAGGGTCACCATCACTTCCTGGAAAACCTCCTAAACCCTTAGGGCCCTATGGAAAAAAAAAAAACAACAGGAAAGATCCACTTAAAAAAACAGCTCAGAGGTGGAATGCAGGCTTTTGAACTGTTAGTGTTTTTAAATTCCCATTAAAAAAATATTTATATCATTATTAAAAGCTGCCATACATCTGTTTTCTGACAATAGCATAAAATTAGTCTTTAGGTGATAAAGAATGAGTTAATATGTTTAATCTTTTTATAATATTATATTTAAAATCAGTAAGGCCAAAATTTTAAAGAATTTCTTTTCTTTTGCTTGTTTTCTGATTGTTCTTAATAAAGGTCAGTTGTTTTTTTGGTTTTTTTGAACAGTTTATTGGCCTGGTTTCTTTATTGCGTTTGTGTCATCGCTTCATTTCTACTTTTGTGTTATACATTCTACTTTTTCTTACCCTAACCCTAGCTTCTACAAAAGTATACTTAAACGGTAGGATTTATACTTCTACTTATGTAATAATATTAAAACTTTTTACACCCCTGTTCATTGAACGTAATTGTGGATGAAATACAGTCATAAACACCAGTCAGTTGTAATGATCTTCGGATAAGTGTAACAGAAGTAAAAACAAAAAATATACCAGAATTTCATCATACAGTAAAATCAGTGTTATTTTTTTTCTTTATATTAAATCTTCCAGGCTAGTATTAATTAAAATGAAAATCTAATACTTCTGACGTGATGCAAACTCCAATCTTCCATTGTCTGTAACAGGGATGCATCATTGCAGGCAGACCCACTCTCCAGTGGCCACTGCAGGAGAGGTGGGGGACACCCTGGATAGACTACTAATCTCTCTAGCAATCATTCACTCGTTCACACTTAGATCAAGAGAGGCCTTTCATGTTTTTAGAATATGGGAGAAGGCCAGATGACCCAGAGAAAACCGTCACATGCAAAGGTTGTTCCCAGGGTGCAAGATTCAAACTGCATGCAGAGATCTACAGCCCTCTTGTTTCAAGGCTATTAGTGCTTTTAACTGTTCCACTATGAAACCTTCAATTTAGGCCCCGTCCACACGAAGTCAAAACGAACACGAAACGCTGATATTTTCCAAAACGTTTGCCGGAGGCGTAAAATAAATGTGAGCGTCCACACGAATGCATGAAAACGCTGCAAAATGTATGCCAGGCCTGTAAGTGGCGCTGTGGTGCCAAAGCAAAAATAAGCGACAAAATGTTGGGTATGCGCACTAATATTTATACATGGTTGCCCTGCGGGTCCATTTTCGTGGTTAAGTCAAATTCAGGTGCTGAACTATGTCGTCGATATTGCTCTGTTCTTCCTGGAGATATTCCAGAAGAAGAAGATTCTGTTGTAAGCCCGACAGCAGGGTGAGTAGCATTAGCAGCAATGGCGCCATTGTTGTTGTGATGTGTCGCGCATGCGTGTTTAGAGGCGACGCTATGACGCATGCGTGTAAAAAAAAATATGCGGTTAGAGCGTAAAGATGGAAACGCGAAAACGGCGTTTCGAAATCTTCCCACTCTGAAGGCTGAATAAAAAAAGATCGTTTACAGACCCCCGAAACGCCGGCTTCGTGTGGATGAGAGGCTGGTTTGGTGAAAAATTTGTGCGTTTAGGCCAGGGTTCGTCTTCGTGTGGACGGGGTCTAAATGTTTTGACAAATTGCAAAACAGGCATTTTTGATTTCACATTCTTATTTTGCCTTAATTCCCAGTTTACTCCTAGCACAAATGCTTAGCAGTTAAGAAGTTTAAATAGTTCGACCTGGAGTCTCCTTAAAGCTACAGTGTGTAATTTTTAGCAACATCTAACGTCCAGACGGCAGACCGCAGCAACATGAACATCTCCCCCCCACCGCTTCTCCCCCCCAACAGTACGGCGAACGTTACGCGACAAAATGTCTTCCACGACGTCCACATCACCTACCTTCTCAAGTGATGAGGTTTGTTTACATAGATAATTTTACAGATAGTATTTCATTAGTCTGTGTAGGGTATAGATTTCATGTAGACTTAAGATAATAAATATACCCGTTATTTTTTCTACATCGTTGTGACGTTTTGGCGATCTCGCAATCGCTAGTTTGTTGGCTCTGCGCTGCCGTAGCGCAAAGATGTCTGCCTCCATGGCTTCGAGACCCGCTCCTATGTAATTATAAATAACGAATTCTAAGACAACGCAAATATTAAGGTTAAGAGGCTGAGCTCGCAGATGATGATAAATAACATAGTTATGTATAATATATTACATTTCTGACTGTATATCCCTGTAATTATTACACACTGTAGCTTTAATAAATACTGGGTACATATACTAAGGGTTTTCATATACTAGCTACAACTATTGATTGGTTGATTGATTGATTGATTGATTGACTTTATTAATCAGTGGAGATCAGCTCAAATATTCAAAGGGGAAGAAGAACGTGTCAAAGGAGGATAAAGGTGCATGGGATATTTACAATATATGCAGTGTGTCCACATATGACACCATTTTTTTCTAGCAGGATTATTATACAGGGTTATTGTACAGGGTGTTTACATGGGTATTTATATAGATGGATATTGTTATTGCACTGTGTGTCAAATATAGAGAAACAGGTTATTGCACAGTGCATCAAATAGTAATTGCACTTTATATACCTATAAAACTAGAAACCACAATCGGAAACATGCTGGAAGAACAACGGCCCAAAAGGTTCTGACTGTACTTCTGTGTAAATAAAAGGAAACTGAAAACTAAAGAGAACAGAAGTGGTTCTGCCGCTTCATTTAGTTTTAATGTGTTTTATTTATATTTAAACACAATGAAACTGATGTTGAAATCCCTGCAGTATGGTTTGGTTTCACTTTCAGTTTTTCTGTTCTCAGTAAATGAAGTGAGGCCTTTGGAAAAGCCCCACAGTAATGTTTTTATATGGTGTCTAAAACACTCCCATGAGAAGAGAACCATTATTTACATGTAATGCGCTGATGACTGACAGATAATATACATACCTATAATAATCATACAGATGCCTTTCAGGCGAGGACAGTCAGGGAAATTCCAGGAACTTGTCCATGAAATCTCATATGCGTGACTCAATGACCAAATGATTTCTGAGATGCATTCACTTTCACTCACAGTTTGACACCAGTTACCTTCAAGTAACTTTAGAAATGCACTGTTGTATTTAGAGTAATAAAGAAAATTTGGTTTTTGGCATCTCAAATTCAAACTGAGAGATTTAGGGCCAGCCCTGTGTGTCATGTAGATGTGCAAGAAAATTATTTCAAAAGCTTGAAAAATCCTCAACAGAATAAAAATGTTACTAACTTGAATCAGTTAAGCCTCAGTTAAAGCCAACAGAAAATGAATTTTCTCTCGATGTGTCAAGCTGTTGGTTAGAGATAACAAAGGCGACCAGATAAAAAAAGCAGGTTTCTATACCTACTGCACTCATGTAACAGACTAAACTTGGTTTCTGAACAGAATAATGTTGGGACTATTGCGAAATGACCATTTTGGTCTTTCCATTTCTTATGATTTAATGCATTGAAATGTAAGTATGTGTTTACATTAGATTAGATTACATTTAAAAACTCACAAACTGTTGTTTTCCCCTATGATGTGCACTAATAAAAAAAAAATCCAGGTTTAAAAGAGTTGAAAAGAAAGAAATGGCAGAAAGGACACTGAACACACCAGGGACCTTTGTGACAAAAAGCGTGTCGGACACACTTGAATCATTAAGGTTATGTGGAGAAGTTAAAATGCAAACAGCCTTCAGTTTAATGGGTCAATGTCACTACACCAATACACATTTAATTAAAGGATAATTAACATTTTACTTTTATTTCAGGTTTTCTGGTATACATGGACAGAATTTCTGGTACCATTCGTTTAAAAAAAAACAAAAAACCATAAAGTCCACAATAACGATAACTTGAATCTGACAAAAGCAATAATAGATATAAAGGCTATTAAAATGGGAAAATGAAAGCGAGACATTTCTTCCCCAACATACAGAAGAGGATTAGGGCCACTGGGGAAAAAAAAAAAAGTTAACTGACTTTTAAATTTTATTTCAGTTTAGCATGGGAAAAAAGTCAGAATTCTGAATTTCTATGGGACTGATAACTGCTCATGAAGGCCTTCGACACAGTGATTCCAGTCCCACTCAGTTCCTGCTTCAGCAACACCAGTTTACTTATTAATACACTCTTTTATAACGCTCATTCCTTGTGTCGGTTGAATTATCAAGTCTCCAGATTCTGTCCAGGTGTTACAGTATTACCGTAACCGTTCAAGCTCTAGGGAAATCCTTTTGATAAATTGTCGCAAAAACATTACCAAAAAGCTTTGACTGTAAATTCAGTTTAAATTAAATCCCTCTACACCAAAATCCAAGTTTAACTACACTGCACCGATACCTCTACCTTGATCAGATCTTAATATCAAGACAGATGTTCATAACAGAAATTGAAAAACAGGTGATCAGAGATCAAGTATCGCTTTGCAATTTTCCTAATTTCATTTAACGCAGTGACAGTAGAAATACTGGGGTTAATGTACAGTGAAAGTATTACTATGTTAGGATGTGTGAGATTCTTTCTGAACTTTAGACTCATCCTTTACTCATTCACAACATGACCTACATTCTGCAAGTGGATGGGTTTTCCAGATCTTGTAAAACAAACCGGAATTACATGAAAAATCAAATAAATCAACAACAAAAATCTCAAAACCATTTTAAAACCTCAAAGGAATTTTTTTAAACAACAACTTTGTTGTTTTCCTTCCGAAGTTGATACGACTAAGGTCAGAATGGTGAAAGTGAAACTCACCAGAGAGATTTTTTTTTTTTTAAATACCTCACAAACCGACATGTGAACTCCCCAACACTTTGATTTTTGTTTAAGCTCTAGAAAAACATCAGAGGATAATGAGATAAAAACACAATCCTCAGTTTTTTTACCTTTGGTCCATTTGGTCCAGCAGGTCCTCTTTGTCCTGGATAACCCTGAAAGAAAAGGGTAGAAATTATTTTAAGAAATGATGCAAAGGTTAAAAAAAACAATAACGAAATCTGATGGGTAACATCTGCTGTGATGCACAATTCTAATTGAGAATCTTTAACCTTAACTAAAAGCATATTTTCATTGTATGTAATAGATTGTTTTACAGGGAAATGTGCACAATTCAGTTTTGATAAATTTTTTTTTTTTTTTTTACAAATATTCAGCTTTGAAAGGCCCGAGATAAGTTTTCCCAGGATAAATGTGTGCTTAAGGTCTGCGCAAAAAGACCAAAAGCAGGATTTTTAAAGGACTTCGAATTAGATTCCATCCCTACCAAAGTAAATAATATCAATAACAAGATTTAAGATTTTGAAAGAAACACGAAACAATAACAGGAAATTAATTTATGTGGCTTCGCTTGTGGGTTGCAGTGAGGGGGCATTGCTGAAAGTGAGATTTGCGGATAGAAAAGGTGCGAACAACACATGTTAGTGTTTTTCTTGTCAGATCTGGGTCAAATTAATTGTACTGAAGAGCTTCTGCCACTGATATTCAGAGACTCCAAGAAAACTCATGTTTTATTACGACAATAAAAGTTCTCAATTTCAATTTATCTTTATTGTCATTGTCACAAGAACAACAAAATTTTAAAAAGTGCCATCGATCAGTGCATATGCTTAAAAAAATAAACAACAAAAATCACTGTCCCACCATTTACACACAATATAAGAAATAAATAATAACAGATGCAAAACAACTAATTAGAAAACTAAGTTCTGCTCTCTTTGCAGAGCAGAACTGATTTAATGAAATTAAAATCAATGAGATTATGAAATGGAGATCCCATTATAAAAGGTAAGCATTAACAGACATGTTCATATAAGACCAAAAAGCTGAAATGAAATTTCCTTTTATTAGCAGTGTTATTAGTTATTCACTAAGAATAACAGGATTTATCTTACAGAGTAGCCTCTCTCTCCGATGTCACCGGGAAATCCGGGGGCTCCTGTCTGACCCTGAGAGATGAGATGAAATAATTCAATGAGATAATCCCTGCTTGTTAGCAAAGGACCCAAACTATCAACAGGTGAATTTTAAAAGAAAAAAAGGAAATAAAATACAGTTAGAGGTTTATCCTTCATTCATATTTACCGCATCCAGTTGAATAAAAAAAACGAATATACTCTGTACTGCAGTTTAATGTCTTTACCTTGGGTCCATCTTTTCCCTGAGGGCCTTGCTTACCCGGGTCGCCTCGAGATCCCTGAACGGAAAACACACAATTGAAAAACATTCAAATAATAACTACTAAAACCTAGGAAAAACTGAAAAGGTTAGATTACTTTATTACAATGCAAATTATTGCATTATGAAAAATAATTGTGAATAATTCAAAGTGCCAATTTGATGTGTCAGGTTTATGATTACGGTATAAAATTAATGCATGTGCATATAGAACATTAAAGAAATGAGATGCTTAACTCTGTTTACTGCAAACTGTCATGCAACTTTGTTAGAAAACTGCTGATGTTTGTGCAAGGATAATCACAGTTATCAGGAGACCACTCTATTCTGTGATTAAATCAGGAGCAGCATTTTGTCCTATGACCTGATCAATTGCCTTGTCAGAAGAACACTGTTCTGTAACCCACCCCATGTGTTATGATCTGCTGATAAAAGGCTTCTGCGAGGAGACCCATGAGAGAGAAAGATGTGGCTGAATGTGGCTCTCTCCTCCTGCAGGAGCCAAAAAGCCCTATTCTGTGTGGACTCAGTTTCTTTTTATCATGACCCTACAATTTTGAATGTAACATGATGCACAAGCTGTTTAAATTTGTTCCACTGAATTAAGCGGGCAGTGGAACAAATAAATAATTTATAAATTTTTTTATTTATTTCTGACAACCCTAGAAAAAACACTGAGTAGGAATACATTTCAAAATATAAAAAAAAAACTCAATGATGTAGACAATTCCGACGAATTCTATACTTCTTTTATAAGACTTTTGTGCAAAGTTTGAATTTTACAAGAATATTGCATGGGATAGATGCATTTTCTATTCTTACATGTTGGCAAAGGAAACAGGAAAAAAATACAAGCACAAAATAAAAACTGTGGTACCTTGATGCCTTTACCTCCTCTTGATCCTGAAGAGCCTGGGTCCCCACGAGGCCCCTGGGATAAATGTTAGAGATAAGTATTAGCAGGGTGAATTTAAAGGCAAGGCAAGGCAAATTTATTTGTATAGCACAATTCAGTACAAATACAATGCAAAGTGCTTTACATGATTAAAATACAGGAAGATAAAACAGAATCAAAGCAAGTAGGAAAAAATAAATAAATAAATAAAATAAAAAATGCAGAAACAAAAAAGAATATTAAAAAAAGTTGGACTAAAGAAAATATGTTTTAGTTGAACTTTTTAAACTAGAACAGTAGAAGGCAATCCTAAATAAATGCGTTTTTAGTCTTGATTTAAAGGAACTCAGGCTTTCCGCACTTTTACAGTTTTCTGTTGTTTGTTGCTTCTCCATGTTTAGTTCTGGTTCTAGGTATGCAGAGCAGGCTGGAGCCAGAAGACCTGAGTGGTCTGGAGGGTTGATACACTGATAGCAAGTCTGTGATGTATTTAGGTGCTAAGCCATTCAGAGATTTATAGACTAACAGAAGTATTTTAAAGTCTATTCTCTGAGATACAGGGAGCCAGTGTAAGGACTTTAGAACTGGGGTGATGTGCTCTACTTTCTTAGTCTTAGTGAGGACACGGGCAGCAGCGTTCTGGATCAGCTGCAGCTGTCTGATCCACTTTTTAGGCAGACCTGTGAAAACACTGTTGCAGTAATCAATTTGACTAAAAATAAACGCATGGATTAGTTTTTCCAGATCATGCTGAGACATTTATCCTTTAATCCTGGAAAATGAATTGGTCGTAAATAAACTTAGCTGAAATTTTACTGAAATTTTACTAAATAATGGACAAAAGTAACAAATCTTGCTAAATCAGAGTAAATATGAGTTTAAATTGTTTTAATTATTAAGTAATGATGCTTAAATCTTAGTAGACGTGATTGTATTATGTGAATCTCAGTCAAAAAAAAGTGCTTATTTCTGACATATATGAACAGTAAGCGTTGGGGGAACAAAAGGCCTCAGTATGATAGCTGAGAGTAAAGTTAAATCTAAGATGAAGCAGGTTTTTATGCCCAGACATGATGGTTCCAAAGGTTGCTGTTTACCGTTACTGTGAGGTTAGTGAATCCCCGCTACGCCGCCTGCAGAGGATGTTCAGGGGGGTTTCCAGATAAATTATTATATTAGGTCTGCCACCTGCTACAGCCCACCTGGCTCACCTCATGAGAATAACACTGAAATGTTTAAGACTACCTTTTAAAAACCACCTTTAACTGCATCAGCATGAACATGTTTAAAAGCCGTAATTGTCACATTTACTAAGAGAAATCAATCACAATAAGATCAAACATAGGACTGCTATGAATGAATAACCTTTGGGTTGGTTACACCTTGGTATGTTATTACAATCTCATTACAAAAGTCATCACATCTTTAATCAGAAAATTCTTCTTTTTTTTTTTTACTTTATTTCAATACATATTCATAAATCTCCTAATTTATGGCTTAATTTATAAGGCTAAGCTTCATCATGTGCAGCTGCTTTTAAAATGTCTTGATTTTTAGTGTCAAGCTTCTTATCTCCTTTAACATGAGCTTTATACTAAACTATCCTTTTGCAATTAACTTTAAATGTTCCTGTATAACCTCTGATTTGGTTCAAAGAAACTCGCAACCACACCAAGGCAAAACCTATAAAACTTTTTTTTTAAATCTTTTTGTATGTTTTTGTCTTTATGTATGTTGTTTTAAATATCCAATTAGAACCATAGAGTAAGGCCAACCAGATGGATCTGCTGGTCCAGCATCTTCAGCTATGAGCAGAATGTGACACAATTACATTGATATGGTCCAGATTGTGGGCAGTTTGCAAACACCAACAATTTTAGAAGAAACTAACCAAACTTTCTCCAAACACACATGAATTTCAAACCCCACAACTAATACAAGAACTGGCTCATCCCAAAGACAGAAGCCGTCAAACCAGCTGAATGTTGTTTTTTTATGCAATGTGTTACTGCTCAGACTCCAACATCAGGGAAACCAAACAGCTGCAAAAAACACATGGAGCAGCACAGCTTTGTGGGAAAGATTCGGCTGTACCTGCAAGATCAACCTGTGACGACCAAAATGTTCAGATCCTGGACCCAGGAAAGAGGGTTTGAAAGGAAGGAAGCCATCTTTGTTGTAAAGGAAAAGTCATCACTGAACAGAGGGGGAGGATTGTGGTTTCAGATTCCAAGCATAGCACACATCAGTCTTATCATGATTCAAATGGCCAAGTTTAAAACTCATACAGCGCTCCAACCACAGGGTTCTCTAGTGCAGGGTTTCATAACCCTGGTCCTCAGGGCCCACGGTCCTATATGTTTTAGGTGTTTCCCTGCCTCCACACACCTGACCTGAATGAAAAGGTAATTCAATGGCTTTTGCAGCATTTTAGGTCTGTCAAGGAGGAAATTGCAATCATTTTAATCAGGTGTGCTGTAGAGACACATCTTAACATGAAGCTCAGTGGACCCTGAGGACCAGGGTTAAGAATCCCTGATATAGTGAGAGCCCACAGAACTGACAAAGACTCGTGGAGAGGTGCTGAATCGTTTTTAGAAAAACTGAATGAAGGTCCAGTTCCCTCTGATTTAGGCCTGTTTCGTGGCTGAAGGACCTGAGAGAATGATAATTTGTACAGAGATTTTACAGAGATTACAGGGAAATATTGATGCTATTCTTGTTAATGTAGCAGAGCAAAGAGAAGTATCATGCCAAAGTAAGCAACTTCACTGCAAAAACAAGCAAGAAATAAGTAAAAATGTCTTAAATTAAGTGTATTTACCCTTAATTTGAGTAGGTAAATAAGATGTTCTGCCAACGGAATAAGCATTTTTACTCTTTAAGATAATTTAAAATAAAGACTTGAAATAAGACAATGCAGTTGACCAGTTAAATATTCAAAACTTTTACAAAGTTTTAAATGTTTCTATTAAAACTTTTCATTACATATTAGAAGTTAAAATGTTGTCCAGGTGGGTGGCAGATTTAGCTCCTTACAGGCTCACCAGCAGGTCCAACTCCTCCTCGGGGGCCTTCCATACCGATGTCCCCCTGTCAACCGCAAGAGACAATAGACATTAACAAATCAATCAATCAATCAAATCAATCAATCAAATTAATCTTCCTTCCTTCCTTCCTTCCTTCGACATTTTTTATACATTTTCCATCTTCAATAGAAATTGGAGAACCACAAGGCTTTGTGTTCAGACTCATACTTTTCTACTTTGTGCTTTTGTCTAAAAAAACATTATATCTTTTGCTGCCATATATTTCTCCTCAGTAAGTGGTTATGCCACATATTTTAAATGAACATGGTGATCTTTAGTTTTGAAAAGATTGGGGACAAACAATTTCTATCTGGATAGAATTTATTTCCTATTAGAAGACGCTTTTAACTGTTTTAGATCTGAAGATTCGTCTTCAAAATAAATAAATTTGTATTTGGGAAGTTTCTGCTATCCTTTATTTTAAAACTCATTCTTTGTTGAAAACATGGCTATAAACTTTATTCTAAGACATTGTCATTTTCAGTTAATTGAGATTTGGTGTATAATTACCTTCAGACCAAGCTCTCCAGGCTCACCTGGCTCTCCCTGAAGTCCAGGTTCACCCTGAAGGAATCAGTTTGCTTTTTAAACAATGTTTTCAGCTTCATTAGAATCCTGTGAAATTATCCAGCTAAATCATTTAAAGGTAAAGTTTAAAATTCATATGAAGTGTTGGGTCTTATTTAGTGAACTGACCATCCCCCCAGAGAAACCTGAAGCTCCTTCTTCTCCTTCGGGTCCTGCATCGCCCTGCAAGTGGAAAGAAAACTCAAAACTAAAGATATCATTCATGTCACATCTTTTACGCTTCATCTACATGGATATACACTCCTTTAATTTTTTTTAATTATTTTATTCCATTTTCGAAATTGAAACCATTTTCATGCAACTCCTTTTTAAATTTCACTTTTAATTTGGAAATCAAAATCAACCAAATATTCTTTGATGTTTCCAGCGCTGTAGATTACGTCTGGTTTCATTTTCGCCTGAATTTGCTGAGTTTTCACTTTCAGCTCCTGATTACAATGTCAGCAAGGGAAGCTTTGGGAGTAATTACCAGACAGAAAAACAGATAAAGCGAGTAAACACATTATAATAAGCATTAATCTAATTTACTCACAACTGGTCCGGTGTCTCCTCCTCTTCCCCGAACTCCTTTAGCTCCTTTATATCCCTACAATAACAAGCATCTTATGCTTTATCCACATTTTTATTTGCTTTTTTTTGTTGTTTTTAAAGAAACATGCAGCAGGACTGAGTTTGGACTCTTACCTCTCTTCCTTGAATACCAGGCAGGCCTGTTTGACCTTGCAGGCCTCTGGATCCCTATCAGAAAGACAGAATCATTCAGATAAAATATAGATCAGCATCGATGACCATAAATGAAGTGATTTTGATGTCTTCTAGTAGAAGAATTCATTAGGATTCAAATATCAGGGTCCATTCTTAAATATATTTAAATATTCATGCAAGGCTACTTTCTTAACTAGTTCTTGCATTCAGAAATAATTAAAGTCAATTCAGTATTTTGAAAAAAAAAAATTCTTATACTTTTTTAAAATATGAAAAAGTAATTGTAGCTGAATATTACTACTGTAGTTAAAGAAAAGTTCAAATGTTTGGTCTCCTCAGACAAAATGTATTTAATCTTTTGTTTGCCAGACAAAAAGTTGGAAAAAAATTGAAGGAATGACGTGGATCGTGTAAAGATATTAGTTTGGAATGAATGTATTCATATATATATAGATATAGATGGCGAAAAAAAGGAGAGAAGTATATATATATATATATATATATATATATATATATATATATATATATATATATATAGCCATTGTTTTGTTTTCTGTTACAGTAAGCAGTTTATTAATACATTAAAACAGTGTGATAAGTTCACACCTTTGGTCCTGCAAAACCACCAAAGCCGGGCTCCCCAGGTTCACAGTCGCACTCCGTTGGCCCCTCCTGTCCAAGAGCAGAATCACCTCCTGATTCCTCATCTGAGGAGTCTGTGTCTCGTCCTGCTGGGTACTGAAATGGTACCTGAAATAAAACCATGAAGGAATTAGTAAGTAAGAAATGATACTATAACAGATTTCATGATTTCTATCTATCTATCTATCTATCTATCTATCTATCTATCTATCTATCTATCTATCTATCTATCTATCTATCTATCTATCTATCTATCTATCTATCTATCTATCTGTCTATCTGTCTGTCTGTCTGTCTGTCTGTCTGTCTGTCTGTCCATCATCCATCTCTTATCTAGATGAAAAGTTTAGGATCTATCAAAAGAATTCCTTGTTGCTAATCTAACAGAACCTCAGTTGCGCTAAAGGCTCATAGCTGTTTTTTATTTATTTTTTTATTTTAATAAAATGAAATACAACAAAGTGACTATAGCAATTTCAAAGAATTACAGTTTAATGACGACCTCTTGTGTTTTTCTTAGTCAGAACTCTGACTTTGGCGCCTCCTAGTGGCTGGATTTGGCAGAAAGCAGCGCCAGAAATAAAGCCAAAGGTTTCACCATTTCCACCTATAAATAGACAGTTATACTGAGAGTCCATGTTTGCTTTTAATAGCAGAGAGAAATTATTTATTTTTATACCTTAATAGATTTAAACTTTTATGTGAAATGGCTGCAGAGTAAACTCTTCTTCTAATAATTGATAAAACATTCATACACAGCATGGTCAATAACTAATATCCTCTGTCCATGGAAACATCTCCCTGCTGTCTTACCTGCATGGTCTCTGTGTCCTCCTTGGCGTAGTGGGACTCTGTGGTTTTAGCAAAAGGAAAGACGTCCTCAGTGATCATGGTGACCCTGGTTGGGTTGGAGTCCTCATCATAGAACTGAGTGGGCTCAGGCTGATGCTCTGAAAAAGGGTTCAGACATTTAATCCTTAAACTTCACAGATAATTTTGGATGTTTGATCTGCTGCTGGGTGATCAAGACTAGTTGGAGTCCTACCAGGATGATGGGAGCCTCTCCTGTCATAGTGGTCGAATGCAGACGACTCTTCATAGACGTGTTTCTCCGTCTCTCCTGCATGGATAAACAGTTAAATTATGGATGTCAGATTCAAGATACTTGTTGAAAGAGAGAAAAAAGACATAAGTGCAGAATCATGACATTCATATACAACTTAAATTTGTTTATTTAAGGTTATAGATTCCTGAAATCATTTATGAACAGTTTTTTTTGTCTATCTGCAAAATCATATCACAAAACCTTGTATCCACCAGATCATAATTCACAATAAAGCATTTTCTTAGTTATCAATCCAACAAAGATAGTATATCTTTATATATTAATTCTAGTTTTTTTATTCACAATTTAGTTATTAAATTTTATTTTTTTAATGTATTTTATACTTATAAATGTCACAGTTTTCAAATTTATCTTTTTCTGATTGAGTTTTAACATTCTTATTTAGAAAGCATTTTAAAGATAACAAAAAGAAAAAGATAAAAAAAAATACGTATAATTTGAAAAAATTAAATATAAAAAAAACAGAAAACATTGAATCTAAGAAAATAGCAAAGTCTCTCAAAAGTTTTTATTAAACAATTTAAAGTTTAATTTCTGGATTAACCAACAAATTACAGCAGTAAATATAAGTGCCAAATTTCAAACCTAAGCCCTCAATTTGTGGCTGTTTTCAAAAAATTTCCAGGCCTTGAAAATAATTTTTTTTTATATTAAAACACTTTTGAGGATTTTTAAGACCCGAAACCTGTTGTTCTCTGCCTAATTTATTCAGAAACAGCTTTTAATTAACTTCAAAAATGTTTCTAAGCTCTTTCAGAAATTTAAATTATTTCTTTTGTCTTTTGATCGTGTTAGTTTGGTTTTAACAGCTGATTGTTGATGTAAAACAACAGACTGCAGCAGCAGGAGCTTCAACCTTTACTTCAACCTGAACATGGAGCCTTTCTGACCTGAGTGGTATCCCGAGTATTCCTCTTGGCACAGAGATGAGACGGCACACAGCACCAACACCAGAAGCCCTGAGAAAAGGGAAACCTGATGGAAACATAGATAGTTTCATAACTCCAAACTGCTTCGGAATTTTACTCTGGAATAGAAAGATATTTACTTTAGCAAATAGAATTTGGGTGAGATGTTTTAAAATGGAGAACATCCATACAGATCTCTCTAGAAATACTTGGAGCATACTGCTAATTGTTCCGCTCAAATGAGCAAGATCCAAACTTTAGAAAAACGTTATTTTGTGCCTTTCAAAGCAGCTTTGGTTGATACATTTTAAATGCTGGAGATCGGCCTGTTTTCCAGTGTGGTCCTGTTTCTCTGACCGTGACTAGCTGGATGTGCTCTCTTCGTCCTCTGGCATGGGAGCTGGCTCAGAGCTCGTCTGCCTGGCTGTGTGTTTCCTGGACGGGGCCGCCTTTTATAGCTGCTTTTTGTATATCTGCTTCTGTCTCCTTGAACCCCAGTCGGCCTCGGCAGATGGCCGTTCATACTAAGCCTGGTTCTGCTGGAGGTTTCTTCCTGTTAAAAGGGAGTTTTTCCTCTCCACTGTCGCTACAAGCATGCTTAGTGTGAGGGATTGTATTTGAGTCAATGAGTCAATGCAATCAACTGGTTTTCCTTAGATAGAAAACTTTGTATCAATTTGACTGGATGATCTGGTTGAACTGTAAAGTGCCTTGAGATGACATGTGTTGTGAATTTGGCGCTATATAAATAAACTGAATTGAATTGAAATCCTAAAAGTATGATGTGAAATGTGACAAACCTCTTTTATCAGGTTCATATTTGCATTGCTTTTCTTGTTATCAGCATCATTCTCCTCCATGCACAGTTATCTTATTTGTTTGTCAAACTAACAAAATGCTGCTTGTTTTATAAAGAAAGAAGATGGGAATGAGGGTTCTGGTAAAATCTAACTTAAAGTAGGTGAGAAACAGGAGAAACAGTTTTTCTGCAGGAAAATGTCCAAAGGAAAAAAAAAAAACTGTACATTCAGGAAAAGAGAAATCATAAAAATGGGAATGCAATGGGAATCAGGTCACTCAAACTGCAAGGAAAAACTCCATCTAAGCAAGTCTTACAATCTTAGATTTAGCCAAAAAGTCTTTTTGATTTTATTTTGACAATAAAATACTAATCAAGAGCAGATTCTGCTAGATTATTAATCTTCAAAATAAGTGCAATAATCTACCAGTGCATTTAAACAAGTGCAACCAGTAGCACTTTTTCAAATCAGGATATAAGTTATTAAAACACAAAGTCTTACCACTGAATATTATCCATCAGCAAGAAATATTTAGGATAAAAAGGAAATCCTTGTGCATGTTTTAGCACTGAGGTTCACTCAGTCTTGACACTTTCTGCCATAAAATGTGCATAAAATAGTCTACAGTTTCAGAAACGATACAAAGCCCACATCCGTATCTTCAGGTAACACAGAGTACATGTCAGACTTAATAATATTACTTTAGCGATAGTTTCAAGGTGTTGATTTATTGTATATCTCGCACCATGTCTTTCGGTTGTGCTGTTCTTTTTTTCATCTCGTTACAGGTGATGAAGCAGACTGAAAATGTTTTGTCATTGTCTCCTTTCTCTTCTTTCTTTCATATGCAATATGGCATTTGCCATACTGCTACACTTGTGAAAGTAAAATCTGTTGAGCTCTTTTTGGCATCAAGACAATTATTCTTATTGCCACCTTGCCAGACAGGACACTGTAAAAAAATAAAAAATAAAAAAAAGAAACAATACAATGCGACTATAAAGAAATAAAAATAAAAATAAGCCTGTCATTATGCTATCAAAACCTGAGATGGAAAAGCAAATGGAAAACTAGCAAACTCTAATTCAGTATTTTTTATATCAAACAATTAAACCTTCTTTTATAAGATTTCTATTGTAATTAGTTACCTTTTATTGCATTTATGGACAGCCTGACAATGTATTGCAATCAGGGGATAAATTGACTGTAAACAACCTTAATGAGACGATTAAAAAGGTTCAAGACAATAATACAAATAAGAACTTTTATTTTGTTAGATGATTCTCAAATATTAAACCTAGCTTCATTTAATTATTTTTTTTACTTAAACAGTATAGAATTTATCTTTTTCACTATCCAGAGGTGTTATAAATCTTTTATCCCTTATGATTTTCTTCTCTCAGACAAAGTTTTGTGATATTTTCCTCGTCTTTCATCAGATGAACATCCTGTATCACATTTACAGCAAGGAAGCACAGAGCATCCAAAAGGGGCCATCAAATCCCTTCAGATTAACTATGGTTGGATGCAAAATACTTTCTATTTGTATCATAAACACACACAAACATCTCATATGGTTTCCATACCTCTTCAGATCAGTGTGGAGGTTTTTGTTCATAAATTAGCAGAAGACCTTTTTACTCATATTCATGTTTGAGGCTAACTTCAGGTAAAAAAAGAAAAATTTTATTCATTTCTTTCATTATTTTCAGCTCTTTTTTATTTTATTCAATGTAACTGGTGTGACTGTTTTGCTAAAGGTGCTGAAGTGCATGACAGCAGATGGACGGACCCTGGTTTTAACCCGTACGTGCGACTCAGGCTGTGCTCGGTGTGAGAACTAAACACACTGAGGCTTCTTTGTCAGGTTGCTGCACTGCTGAGCTTTTCTCAGACTCATCAGACATTCCTGAAGCCTCCATCTGAGCCTGAACATAAACCTGCACTATAACCACACAAGCAGCTGATAGACCAGAACATGGAGTCAATAACCAGATGATTAGTGAGGATGAAACCTCAAACACAACTTCCTGGTTTAAATCGCTTTTCTAACTTAAATGAAGGGAAACTGAGGTGGAAAAATCTAAAAAAATTTTGATTTTAAGGGAGATGATGTAAATGCATGTATAAATCAAATCAAAGCTGTGTTATTACTATGATACAAAAAGGAAAATGGAAAAAAGGATCATTTAAATATAAATAATGACATGCTTTTAACAGCCCCTTTTAATTAAAATTCTGCGCATCCAGAGTGAAGCGATTTTACACTGAGCAGAAGGACCTCTGGGACGCCAAGGTGAGAAACGTCCCCACCAGAGGAAACTGTTTTATTCATCCAGTGTTTAAATCATGAAAAAGTAATAATACTCTGATATATGTGGCAGTTTAAAGATGTTGTTACCGAACACAAAAAAACTGTGAAAAAAGAAACAGCAAAGTGACTTTCAGTAAATAAAGTAAAATAAACATCTATAAGAGCCAAATACAGAAGATTACATGCTTTCTACTTAAAAAAAAGGCAATATAAATCCAACATAAAAAAGGAAAATGAGGACCTTTCATCAAAGCTATGATTTAGCAAGAGGTTCACACTAAATCAGCGAGTTATTTGATTTAAAGGGCCTTGCTAGCCTTTTCCCCTGCAGTGTTTCTGCTTCTGGCTGAAGTTCTGCATTAATTTTTTACTCAATGATTGACTAATTAAAGAAATATGTCTAAAATTAACAGTTAGTTCATTAAACACATCCTCTGTCTCCACTGTCCGACTCCATTTTCCAAGAAAGTTTCATTATTATTGATCAATATAAAGTTAAACCAATGTGCACTTCATACATTATTTATTATCTAAATGGCCAAAAATATTTAATCTAAAATTAGAGCCTAAAGTAACCTTTCCTCTCACCTTATCCCTGGATGATCCCATGGTGCTGAGAAGACCGTCTCCTCAAACCCGTTTGGATCCTGATCAGGATATTAGGAAAGCCCGGCAGACTGTTGGCCTTCACAGCATTATCACTGCGTCGGTTTGCCTCCTCCTGTCTCCTCTGGATCCGCCGGGCTCCCAGGCTCCTCTCAGTCTTCTACCTCTGCTTCCCAACAGGGTGAGAAATACCTGATCCACGAACCGGCTTCAGCAGAGGAAGACTATGGATTAGTGATAACCATTAAGAACTGCATGTTCTACCACAAACTAAAGTCTCTGAATGGTTGCAATAAGCTGGACTTCCTAAGATGGATCATTGTTTTGTCAACTGGAAGAAGAAAATTCACTTAATTTGACTGCATTTTCATTCAATTTAATTAACTCTGAATATATGATTGAATTATATTGGAACGAAAAGCATAGATTTACAATAAGACTTAACTGGATACCTCATGATTAAAAATAAAGACTACGGTATTAGTAAAATGCCTGGAAATTAAATCTGAAGTCAAATTTAACCAAGCTATGAGAGGTGACATTTAAAGATTTTTGGAACCAGAAGCCAACATCTGAAGTAAATTTATGCAATTATAAACAATAAAATATAAGGATAATTAAAAATTTCAGGAGATCTGATGATTATTGAAATAACAGGTGGGAGTTTTCTTCCAATTAAAATAAAAATTAGAGATTTAGTGTCAATTGGCTGGAAATAAATCAAAAGTTGTAAATTTCTTAGAGGCAGCCAGAAGTTAATAATTTCATTCAGAATTAAATATGTATATTTTTTAAATTCTTGTATTTTCAAAACATACTTATAACAGTAACAGAAACTCAGTAGCCTGTTAAATTTATCCAAGTGAACCAATTTCCTTCATCCTGTCTTTTCTTTGATGACAATAATGATTTGTGGCATGTTTATGGTGAACAGATGTCTAGAAATGTAAACAATTTACATGAAAACATGATTTAAAATCTTAAAAAGAGAGAATAGAATAGGTGTTTGAACAAATCTTTATTACCTTTAAACAGGTAAAAAACAAAGAGTTGACCAATAAACAGGAGCATGTTTTAACTGGATGAGCTTTCTGACTTCCTATGCTACAGATCCGGCGTTCTCACTTGTCCCTCTCCTTATCTTCCTTCTTCTTTTTCTTTCTGTTATGATGGCGGCCGTCGGGGGAGCGGGAATCCCTAGGAAGAGCAATTATTGTATTACCCAAGAGAACTTTTAAAGAAGATGAAGTATAGTTGTTTTGAAGCAGAGTTGTCATAGCAGAAATAATTGTCAGTGTACCGAGTTGGGGTTTCTTACCTTTCTTTTCTTTTCTTTTTCTTCCGCTCCCTGTTGTCCCTTCGCTCTCGGCTTCGCTCACGGTCTCGCTCACGTCCTGGCTCTCGGCTTCGCTCACGGTCTCGCTCGCGTCCTTGCTCTCTGCTTCGCTCACGGTCTCGTTCATGGCTCCTTTCGCAGCTGCGATGGCGCTTGCTGTGGGAGTGATGGGACTCTGCGGATTTTGATCGTCCTCTCTCCAGCCAGCGCCTTCAAACATAAAATAACATTCTGTCTTTCCTACAGTGGTTCTCTAATTAATCAAACAAACTAATAAACTGTTTTTTTTTTTGTTTACCCTTGAGGGGATTGATCAGATCTGGATAACTGCTTCTCATCCTCGTCCTCTTTCCACTGTCTGGCGAGTTCCTCTGAATGAACACTGATCACCTCTCTGATGACCTGCAGGGTGATCACAAAGATATAACTTTGATTTTTCCACTTTGTTTTGAACAAATGATGAAGTTACAGAGGATTTTTGCACAGGCTGATCAATATCAAAATTAAAAATCTAATCTATAATTGAGAAAGTTTTGATTGGAATCCAGTGACTGGTTTAGGAAGAGGATTTCTTAGGTTTTTATACATTTTGGAAGTGGCCTGAAAGGGAAATTAAATAATCAATTAATAACATGTTTCAATCCAAAGGGAAAAAAAACATGAAAAACCTATAATAAGGGGAGGTTAGGATGAAATTTAAACTCATATGGTTGAAATAAAAAGGTAAAAAGGCCAGCATTAGCCAGCTCACACACATGCAACGAATAATGATGCATTCTTTTGATTGTACTGCTAATTTATTACTGATTAAATTCCAAATAATATGAACAGTGGTCCAGTGGGTAGCAGATGCAGCAAGAAGGTTCCATGTGCGATTTCCAGGCCCAGGGTCTTTCTGTACGGAGTTTGCATGTTCTCTCTGAGCATGCATGGATTCTCTCTGGGTATTCCGACTTCCTCCCACAGTCCAGAAACATGACTGTTAGTTAATTTGCTTCTTTAAATACTCCTTAGGAGCATGAATGGTGGTTTGTCCTGTTCGTCTCTGTGTTGTCCTGCGATAGAGTGGCGACCTGTCTAGGGTGTACCCCGCCTGTCACCCGTAGACAGCTGGAGATAGGCACCCCAGCAGGGATAGGCGTGATGGAAAATGGATGGATAAATTGCAAATTATTGCAAAGTCATTGACTCAATGGTGCCATATAAATGAACTGAAATGTTTATAGTGGCTTTTTTAAACTAAAAGACCCTATAGTCGAACCAGCATTTGACTATCAAAGCTGTCATTACAAACATGCATGTTAGGAAGAAAAAGGTTGAAGGAGCAAATTCATGCTTCTATGAAGTGATTGTTTTAAAACATAGGAAGCAGGTTGCATTCAAATAACAAATAGGAAAGAAAAATAAATCAGCCCAACAGTGTAACTGAAGGGTTTACCTCAGTGTAGGACTTCTTAGTGATGTGAACGTTCTTGGCTCTATAAGACTGGCGTCGCCTCTTATAGTCCCTCATCTCCGCCATCAACTCCAGGTGACTCTTTGGTTCATTCTGTCCTTCATCTGCACAAAAACACACAACCATCAATAAGATCCCTTTAAAAACAAACAAAAAAGGCACAATAAGGTGAATCTTTAAGTATATATAAACTCAAAAGAGACTACTTTAAAGTGACATAAATGCAGGGACATCTGGTTCAGTTTTTAAAGCAAAACCGATAAAAAAAAAATCTTTGTTAAAATGTTGGTTTATATTCCTTAGATTAAAATAAAGCCATGAAAAGTGTGACTGTCACCTTTTTGAAGTTTTGAAACCAAATCTACGTAGAGATCGTCGTTGGATGCCGCAGCCTCATTCTGCTGTCCGAGTACGCCGACCACGTGATCGTAAAGAGCCAAGCGGTCCGCGACAGTGAGGTCACAGACCGCTCGCTTGTGGTTCTGAGGCACGTCGACAGGCTGGCCAGAGTACTGACCTGATGAAGGACCAGAGAGCTTTTACACACAAGAATACAACCTGTACATCTGCCTGCTATCTCACTGGTTACTGCTGGTCACAGATTAATGAGGGATTCCCCAACAAAACAAACAGGATCAAAGTATAGTACAGGATCAAAATGTACTGCAAATCCTTTGCAGAGCCGAGCTCCTGTGGCTCAAAACATACAAAAAAAAACTTTAATGTTTCAGCATTTATGATGAGTCACTTTTTGCATAAACCTGCTTCAGCTGAGTCAGTATTAACACAACAGATAAACAATTAGGAGCTAACGTGGAATAAATGACTGGGAGGTCCAATATTCTACATTTCCTGGAACCACTGCTATCATCCAGAGTTTGAAAACTTAAAGAAACTTAAGGACCGAACCTCGAAATTTTAACTATTTTTCACCTTTTTGTCAGACTCACGTTTTCAAAGTCCCAAAGCCTTTTTAAAAATAAGTCACCATGCAGTTAATTAACACCTGAGTAGGTTAAAGAAGTGGTTCCATAAATGGAGGTGCGCCCCCTAGTGGGGGATGCTGCATAACTGCAGGGGGCATGAATTGAAAAAATTACCAATTTTTAGAGGCAATTTAAAAAGAAACTATTAATAGGAATATTAAACTGCAACACAGAGAAACAGAGATTTAAACACAAAGTAATTACACTATAAAAGTGGTATTTTCACAATTTTAAAGAGATTGTAGTTCACTTTGTTGCAATAGGATTTCCTGTAGTTGACTTTTCATTGTTCAACAGTTAGAAAGTCGTCTTAAGGGGCTGAAAACATTCTTTTAAACCAAAAGTTTAGGAACCAGTGGAATAACTAGAGGACTGATAGATGACAGAAAGGAAAAAATCAAATATTGTTTTATATATAATGTTTTCTTTTTGAGTTTTTATTTAACTGTGGAAAATAATTACATTTCTATACTTCCCCTAATTGCACAAAAAAACAGAAGAGACTTGGAGTTTTTTCCCCCACAAATGACAAAATATGTTAAGTTTTTAAAAAGCATGATAATAAAACACGTAACTTCCAAGCTATTACAGGTGCTGGTCATAAAATTAGAATATCATGAAAAAGTAGATTGATTTCAGTAATTCCATTTAAAAAGTGAAACTTGTATATTATATTCATACATTACATACAAACTCATATATTTCAGATGTTTATTTTGTTTAATTTTGATGATTACAAATGACAACAAATGAAAATCTCAAATTCATCATATCAGAAAATTAGAATATTACTGAAGACCAATAAAAACAAAGGATTTATAGAAATGTTGGCCAACTGAAAAGTATGAACATGAAAAGTATGAGCATGTACAGCACTCAGTATTTAGTTGGGCCTCCTTTGGCCTGTATTACTGCAGCAATGCGGCGTGGCATGGAGTCGATCAGTCTGTGGCACTGCTCAGGTGTTATGATAGCCCAGGTTGCTCTAATAGTGGCTTTTAGCTCTTCTGAATTGTTGGGTCTGGTGTATTGCATCTTCTTCTTCACAATACCCCATAGATTTTCTATGGGGTTAAGGTCAGGAGAGTTTGCTGGCCAATTAAGAACAGGGATACCATGGTCCTTCAACCAGGTACTGGTAGCTTTGGCACTGTGTGCAGGTGCCAAGTCCTGTTGGAAAATGAAATCTGCATCTCCAAAAAGTTGGTCAGCTGCAGGAAGCATGAAGTGCTCTAAAACTTCCTGGTATGTGGCTGCGTTGACCCTGGACCTCAGAAAACACAATGGACCAACACCAGCAGATGACATGGCACCCCAAACCATCACTGACTGTGGAAACTTTACACTGGACTTCAAGCAACGTGGATGAAGTGCCTCTCTTCTTTTCCTCCAGACTCTGGGACCTTGATTTCCAAAGGAAATGCAAAATTTACTTTCATCAGAGAACATGACTTTGGACCACTCACCAGCAGTCCAGTCCTGTTTCTCTTTAGCCCAGGCAAGACGCTTCTGACGCTGTCTGTGGTTCAAGAGTGGCTTGACACAAGGAATGCGACAGCAGAAACCCATGTCTTTCATACGTCTGTGTGTGGTGGTTCTTGAAGCACTCACTCCAGCTGCAGTCCACTCTTTGTGAATCTCCCCCACATTTTTGAATGGGTTTTGTTTCACAATCCTCTCCAGGGTGCGGTTATCTCTCTTGCTTGTACACTTTTTTCGACCACATCTTTTCCTTCCCTTCGCCTCTCTATTAATGTGCTTGGACACTGAGCTCTGTGAACAGCCAGCCTCTTTCGCGATGACCTTTTGTGTCTTGCCCTCCTTGTGCAAGGTGTCGATGGTCGTCTTTTGGACAACTGTCAAGTCAGCAGTCTTCCCCATGATTGTGTAGCCTATAGAACTAGACTGAAAGACCATTTAAAGGCTTTTGCAGGTGGTTTGAGTTAATTAGCTGATTAGAGTGTGGCACCAGGGGCCATCAATTTTGAACCTTTTCACAATATTCTAATTTTCTGATATGATGAATTTGAGATTTTCATTTGTTGTCATTTGTAATCATCAAAATTAAACAAAATAAACATCTGAAATATATGAGTTTGTATGTAATGTATGAATATAATATACAAGTTTCACTTTTTAAATGGAATTACTGAAATCAATCTACTTTTTCATGATATTCTAATTTTATGACCAGCACCTGTAATGCATTTTTGATAAAAAGATATAAATGGGATTTGGACATATAGATGTGTACTTTTTGTAAAAATAATGAAGAAAAGCGTATTCATCTTTTTTGGGATTGTACGGAGAGATCACGCAATACTTTTGCGAGATCTTGCAAAAGTATTGCAGGATCTCGCAAAAGTTTATTTTTTTTGCGAGATCCCGCAATACTTTTGCGAGATCTCGCAAAACTATTGCGGGATCTCGCAAAAGTTTATTTTTTGCAAGATCCCGCAATACTTTTGCAAGATCCCGCAATACTTTTGCAGGATCTCGCAATACTTTTGCAAGATCTCGCAAAACTATTGCGGGATCTCGCAAAAGTTTTTTTTTTGCAAGATCCCGCAATACTTTTGCAGGATTTCGCAATACTTTTGCGAGATCTCTCAAAAGTATTGTGGGATCTCGCAAAAGTTTATTTTTTGCTAGATCTCGCAAAAGTTTATTTTTTGCTAGATCTCGCAAAAGTTTATTTTTTCCCTCCATTTACCTTTAGGGGCTCCGTAGGATTGTAATTATACAAAAATATTTTGGAGAGATATGTCACTTTTTTTAATCAAAGAAATCTCAATATTACTTTAACAGATAAGGATGTTTTGTTTGGGATGGAGAAATGTGAACATGTCAAAACAGAATTCTTATATGTTGTCAAATTTTTTTATTATTTATGGTAAATATCATATACACACCTCCAAATATTTGCAACAAAAACCTAATTTCCAGATTTTATTATCCTCTATTAATATCTATATAGAATCCTTAGAATTTAGTTCAAATGCTAAAGCCATTAAAATCATAACTGCTCTTAAAGATTTGAACCATTAAGCAGATTTGATTTTGACATTGTAAAACTGCTCTGTTTTATAAAGCCCTTTGATGTTGTATCTGTTTGTAATTAATAATGTTCTATAGTGTTCTTGTACGTTCTTTATTGCAATAAAAAAACAAACTTCCAAGCTAACTAAAAGAAAAACAGAAAGTTCTAAAAACTAATTTCTGGTTCTTTTAGTTTTATTCTGCTGGGAAAATTCTATTAAAATATTTTTTATAAGAACCCATAAAACCTCTAATGCTGGTATTTGTTATTATAGTATATAAGTTAGTACCTTATATCATTTATAGCCACTATTAAAATTACTTTTTTAAGTCTGGTGATTTGACCAAAGTGCTTTCCACTATACTCATTCATTCATTCACCCATTCACGCACTGATGGTGATTTGACCACCAGCGGTAGGCGATGTGGGTGAAGTGCTATGCCCGAGGACAAAACATCACTGAAAACTGGAGCTTGAACTGACAACCCTTCAATTTCTGGGAAAACTCCTACATCCAATGCCGCTGTTGCTTCAAGAGCCATCAAGAGCTATTTTAGAGGGTCCAGAAAGCAGCATGCCGTCCTGGAGCTGCAGGTATCAGAACCCTGTTCTAAAAACTCTGTTGTGACCTGAGAGAACTGACAATGACTCCTGGATAGGTGTCCAAACTGAGCCAAAGCCCTGTTACCTCTGACTTAAGTCTGTTTAAAGATTTGGTGAAGATGTTTGCAAGTTTAAAAGACAGCAGAAAATGAAATTAAGACATAAGTGACATCTAGTGGGCAGTTTGTTTATTGGCTGTAATATCAGATCCAGCACAAAAAGCAAGCTTGATTTAGTAATTAAAGGTGAGACTATACCTCGCCAGAAGACTCCCTCCATCTTCATAAGTGGGGCTGCAGATCTAGCCTGTAGTATAACCTGGTGTTGGGTGGATTTGTCTGCAAAACGGGAAAAAAAACAACATACAAACTTAACAGCAGAGCATTGATGCCTTAACATATAATTATTGTACCTTTATATCATTTAGGTTGTCTTTTCATGTTTCATATATATACTTTGTTATATATATATAAACATTTAAATGACATAAAACTACAATTCAGAGGTAAAAAACAATGTAAAGGGGCTGCATATTAACAGAACTTTAGAAAAATATAGAATTAGCTGACAGAAAAAAATGACACTTTTAAACAAAGTATATATTCAAAATGACCTTACCCATCAAAAAACTTTTAACGTTGCTGTTTTCATAGCACACAGATGGGTCGTACAGCTCTTTCTGCAGAACAGCGATAAGAGATGTCAGTTTAACAGCATCAATAATTGAGGAAGCGTGGTTTACATATGGATCACATTTAATAGGCGTTAAAACTATAAGCCTGGGTTCTGGGCTCGAATTAAAAAAACATCCCCTTAAATCGAAACAAATTGTATCACACATGTTAATAATTGTTTAACTGTGTAGAGAGCTGACAGGTGATCAGTGGCGTCAAAAGTTCACACATTTGTTACTTAAGTAGAAGTATAGATACAGCAGTTTAAAAACACTCTGGTAAAAGTTGAAGTATCAACTTGACCTCTTTACTCAAGTAAAAGTGAAAAAGTATGTGCTCCAAAAACTACTTAAAGTGTAAAAGTATAAAGTAACCTTTAAAAAAAAAAACAGCCAGATGCCACAATATAAATTGAAAGCCTAATATTTCAACAAAATTTCTTTGAGATAGTGCCAAGGATGAGGGAGGTCTTGTTGGTCTCCGTCTCCCGATACGTTCTCGCCTGTGTGCGACCTTTGACAGTTCATCATCTTTTTCTGAATCCCACATTGTAGCATGGCATAGACAATTCACCTTTGCAGTTTATAGAACTCCTACTTGCTTCTGATGATTTCCTTTAGCTAACCAATGAGTGTTTGCGTTATATGACTCATCCAATTACACTAGTTTTCACTAGATGTGGATGGAGCCAATGATCTGCATTGGATGGCGCACATGACGTGAATATTTATAAACATTAAACCGAAGCCAAGAGTAACGAGTAACGTTTGTTTTGAAAATACACTATATTGCCAAAAGTATTTGCTCACCCATCCAAATTATTGGAATCAGGTGTTCCAATCACTTCCATGGCCACAGGTGTATAAATTCAAGCACCTAGGCATGCAGACTGTTTTTACAAACATTTGTGAAAGAATGGGTCGCTCTCAGGAGCTCAGTGAATTCCAGCGTGGAACTGTGATAGGATGCCACCTGTGCAACAAATCCAGTCGTGAAATTTCCTCGCTCCTAAATATTCCACAGTCAACTGTCAGCTGTATTATAAGAAAATGGAAGTGTTTGGGAACGACAGCAACTCAGCCACGTAAACTGACGGAGCGGGGTCAGCGGATGCTGACGCGCATAGTGCGAAGAGGTCGCCAACTTTCTGCAGAGTCAATCACTACAGACCTCCAAACTTCATGTGGCCTTCAGATTAGCTCAAGAACAGTGCGCAGAGAGCTTCATGGAATGGGTTTCCATGGTCGAGCAGCTGCATCCAAGCCATACATCACCAAGTGCAATGCAAAGCGTCGGATGCGGTGGTGTAAAGCACGCCGCCACTGGACTCTAGAGCAGTGGAGACGCGTTCTCTGGAGTGACGAATCGCGCTTCTCCATCTGGCAATCTGATGGACGGGTCTGGGTTTGGCGGTTGCCAGGAGAACGGTACTTGTCTGACTGCATTGTGCCAAGTGTAAAGTTTGTTGGAGGGGGGATTATGGTGTGGGGTTGTTTTTCAGGAGCTGGGCTTGGCCCCTTAGTTCCAGTGAAAGGAACTCTGAATGCTTCAGCATCCCAAGACATTTTGGACAATTCCATGCTCCCAACTTTGTGGGAACAGTTTGGAGCTGGCCCCTTCCTCTTCCAACATGACTGTGCACCAGTGCACAAAGCAAGGTCCATAAAGACATGGATGACAGAGTCTGGTGTGGATGAACTTGACTGGCCTGCACAGAGTCCTGACCTCAACCCGATAGAACACCTTTGGGATGAATTAGAGCGGAGACTGAGAGCCAGGCCTTCTCGTCCAACATCAGTGTGCAACCTCACAAATGCGCTTCTGGAAGAATGGTCAAAAATTCCCATAAACACACTCCTAAACCTTGTGGACAGCCTTCCCAGAAGAGTTGAAGCTGTTCTAGCTGCAAAGGGTGGACCGACGTCATATTGAACCCTATGGATTAGGAACGGGATGTCACTTAAGCTCATATGTGAGTCAAGGCAGGTGAGCAAATACTTTTGGCAATATAGTGTATAAGGAATAGAAAGTACAAATACCGAAAAAATGTACTTCAGTACAGTAACGAAGAATTTGTACTTTGAGTTAACTAAAAGAGTATAAGCAAACAAATCCACACACATACAGGTGCTGGTCATAAAATTAGAATATCATGAAAAAGTAGATTGATTTCAGTAATTCCATTTAAAAAGTGAAACTTGTATATTATATTCATACATTACATACAAACTCATATATTTCAGATGTTTATTTTGTTTAATTTTGATGATTACAAATGACAACAAATGAAAATCTCAAATTCATCATATCAGAAAATTAGAATATTGTGAAAAGGTTCAAAATTGATGGCCCCTGGTGCCACACTCTAATCAGCTAATTAACTCAAACCACCTGCAAAAGCCTTTAAATGGTCTTTCAGTCTAGTTCTATAGGCTACACAATCATGGGGAAGACTGCTGACTTGACAGTTGTCCAAAAGACGACCATCGACACCTTGCACAAGGAGGGCAAGACACAAAAGGTCATCGCTAAAGAGGCTGGCTGTTCACAGAGCTCAGTGTCCAAGCACATTAATAGAGAGGCGAAGGGAAGGAAAAGATGTGGTCGAAAAAAGTGTACAAGCAAGAGAGATAACCGCACCCTGGAGAGGATTGTGAAACAAAACCCATTCAAAAATGTGGGGGAGATTCACAAAGAGTGGACTGCAGCTGGAGTGAGTGCTTCAAGAACCACCACACACAGACGTATGAAAGACATGGGTTTCTGCTGTCGCATTCCTTGTGTCAAGCCACTCTTGAACCACAGACAGCGTCAGAAGCGTCTTGCCTGGGCTAAAGAGAAACAGGACTGGACTGCTGGTGAGTGGTCCAAAGTCATGTTCTCTGATGAAAGTAAATTTTGCATTTCCTTTGGAAATCAAGGTCCCAGAGTCTGGAGGAAAAGAAGAGAGGCACTTCATCCACGTTGCTTGAAGTCCAGTGTAAAGTTTCCACAGTCAGTGATGGTTTGGGGTGCCATGTCATCTGCTGGTGTTGGTCCATTGTGTTTTCTGAGGTCCAGGGTCAACTCAGCCACATACCAGGAAGTTTTAGAGCACTTCATGCTTCCTGCAGCTGACCAACTTTTTGGAGATGCAGATTTCATTTTCCAACAGGACTTGGCACCTGCACACAGTGCCAAAGCTACCAGTACCTGGTTGAAGGACCATGGTATCCCTGTTCTTAATTGGCCAGCAAACTCTCCTGACCTTAACCCCATAGAAAATCTATGGGGTATTGTGAAGAAGAAGATGCAATACACCAGACCCAACAATTCAGAAGAGCTAAAAGCCACTATTAGAGCAACCTGGGCTATCATAACACCTGAGCAGTGCCACAGACTGATCGACTCCATGCCACGCCGCATTGCTGCAGTAATACAGGCCAAAGGAGGCCCAACTAAATACTGAGTGCTGTACATGCTCATACTTTTCATGTTCATAATTTTCAGTTGGCCAACATTTCTATAAATCCTTTGTTTTTATTGGTCTTCAGTAATATTCTAATTTTCTGATATGATGAATTTGAGATTTTCATTTGTTGTCATTTGTAATCATCAAAATTAAACAAAATAAACATCTGAAATATATGAGTTTGTATGTAATGTATGAATATAATATACAAGTTTCACTTTTTAAATGGAATTACTGAAATCAATCTACTTTTTCATGATATTCTAATTTTATGACCAGCACCTGTATATACATATATATTTTTTTTTCACTTCACATGACTAAATCTGTTTTTGTTGAAATTCAGCTGCTACCTGTTCCTCAGCAGGATAACCCATTTTGCTGAGCCTGCAGGAGGCTTTGTGTTTTTCCATGGTTCTGACGGGGACTCTGTGGTTTGGGTCATAGGGACACTGCTCCATCGGCTCCTGATAAAACATAAAAATCAAAAACAAGGAAAATTGAAACAGTATAACAAAGATACCAATCAATCGCTGGCTGTACTTTATGTAAATTTGGCTACATATAGCATGTTAAAAACAATAATAAAAAACTTGCACTAGAGAGTTGCTGTATCAAGACAAAATACAAATAAATCTTGCAAAATATAACAAGGAGCTGAAATGGCTGGTGTAACATACTGTATACTGCAGAATTCAACTGTAAACAATAGCAAACACATCACTCATATAATGTAAATGGAAGTGATGTAATGAGATGAGCCGAGGCTTCGAGGCGTGTGTCCAGTAACGGGGGGGGGGTTGGGGGGGGCGTTCCCTGAAGTGCGTGTCGAGGCATGATTCATTTAGAGGGTCCAAAATTGATGACGTCCGAAGCCTCGCTACAGTGATACCACATGAGCGCTTCTTTTGCTCCTCATTATAGCAAATTACCATTTCTCAATTCCTTCACTGATTCCACTTCCCCAATTTTCTTATTTATGTCTCTGGAGATAAAAATGGGGCTCAAATGACTCTTTTTATCTTCAGCACTGAATCTAAATATTATTTTTATCTCTTCCCTGACACGCTTCCTTTGCACAACTCTTCATCTGAATTGCTTTTTTTTAATTCCCGTTTATTTCCTTGATTCTCAAACTGCGCATAGTGATGTTTAATGAGGCATCTTGAAGCCAAACTGTATTGATGCTGCGTTGATACTGTCTAACAGAATACTGACCCCTGCTGGACCTTTTGGCCAGGACTCCCTTGAAAAAGAGGTTTTTAATCTCAATGGGATTTTTTCCTGGTTAAATAAAGTCACTACAGGCAGCTTATTGGACAGACTAAGCTGAATTGATTTGATGACCTAGTACAATGATATAATTTAAGTTATTGTTGGTTATATTGTATTAATTCATATCTGTGTTTAAATTGAAAATATCTTTGATCATTTTTGATGCAGCCAATAAATAATGTATATCATAACGTGAAAATTTGGGGGAAAATGTGAATGATGATACTTGTGTAGGCTACTAGGATTTTATATCATATTTTTAAAATAAAAATACAGTAAAAACAGTAAACAGGCATGATTCGTTTAGAGGGTCCAAAATTGATGACGTCCGAAGCCTCGCTACAGCGATACCACATGAGCGCTTCAGGAAGTGGTCCAGAAAGCGCAAGGATTCAGTGCAGATGTGGGAGTTTGTAGGATAGTTGCTGTCAGTTGGATAGAGTTTGGATAGATTCTAAGAAAAAATTGGTTGTTTTTTCCAACAAATCTAGTTGCTTAAAACTATTTTGGTTAGATTATAGAATGTAATGATTAAATTCTGAGCAAGCTGTTGGACACAGTTGTAACTTTAGTGTTATGAAGTATTTCCCTCATCATCGTCACCTGTAAGACACCGACTTCCACTCCTGACGTTGATGGTTCAAGACTCACTTTTGAAAGTTGCGATTATACTTAATTATTTTGGCTAATGTGACTAATTTTTATTGGTTTGCCCTAGTAGAAATATAGATTGGGTAAAAACGCTGCCAAATTAAATTGGTCGGTTTAGCCAAAAGATTGGTTGAACACATAACTTCCAACCCGATTAAAACCAAAAACCGTGGAAAAACTATTATGTATAATAAAAATGACTAACATCTTTCATTTTGCTCATCATTGCCCAATTTGCACAAACACATTCACTGTCTGCTTGAGCTTATTTCACCAAAATAGCAGAAAAACTGTGTATGTAAAATGAAAAAAACTTACAAAAGACTATTATACACACCATTCATTAACAATTTCAAAGGAACTTAAAATGGAGAAGAAAAAAAAGAAAAACTATTGCAAAATAATCAGATTTTGTTACTAACTGTAGTTCTGCACTCCACCAGTAGGTGGTGATATGTTCACATGGAGCCTCATTAACTCTGGGAATCATTGGAGCAATTTCGCCAAACGGTTCAATAATGTCTCATGAGGCCTCATCTCACTATCTCTTTCCAACTATTATTTTCTTTTTGAAAGGTTCTAGGTTTAGAACTCAAATTATTGATTAGCAAACAGAAGCTAAACAGATATCTAACAAGATTTACCTTATTGAATTCATCGTCGTACTCCTGTGACCATCCGAGCGTCTCAAATATTTCATTTAACTGTTTTTTGCACTTTTCGGTAAACTCTGTCAGCTCCTTCAGACGGTCCAGGCGATCCTGGACAGTTTCTGGAGGAATAGAGGCGGACATTGGTGTATTCTAGTACCAAACTAAACTAAAATCTGCTTAAAAACGCGACTACTGCACCAGAGAAAGCGCTTCCGCGCGATATGATGACGCATACGGAAGTGACATAAGTACTAGCAATGCATGCTGGTAGTTGAATTTTTTTATTTCATTTTTTATTTATATAACAAACACTATACAAAGACTCGTCGAGGACCAGCTCTACCGTATTTAAAAATAAACACATAAATAAATAAATGCTCAATAAATAAATAAGCATACAATTAATAGCTCCCAAATATACAATAAACAAATAAATATAGGTAAAAATTTTATTACACAGTGAGACATAAATGTATATATCTCTTTTAATTAGCTTCTTTATGTAATTACCTTTGTAATAATTACCCTTTTTATTTTCCGTTATAATCTTATATAATCTTGTGTCTTTCCTGTCTTGCTGTCTTATCTCCACTTTCTATATTTAGTAGACTTGCTACTTTCACTTACTACAAAGTTGTCCTTCTTTCACTGAAAGAACATCTCCAGGTTTAAAGGACTTCTCAGCAGGACCTTGAAAAACTAATTTATGCATTGTTCCACTTTAGTAGAATTGATCCCTGCAGCTATGGCACAGGTCTGCCTGGATCAAACGGCTGCAGCTGATCCAGAACCCTGCTACCTGCGTCCTCACTAGAACTAAGAAAGTTGAGAACATCAGCCCAGTTCTAAAGTCCTTCCATTGGCTCTCTGTGTCTCAGATAATAGACTAAAATACTCCTGTTAGTCTATAATTCACTAAGTGGCTTAGTAACAGAGTACATTACAAAAAATGCTTTCATCAGATCAACTACTCAGACCTTCCGGGTCTACTGGCTCTAATCTACTCTACAGAACCAGAACCAAAAGCAGCTTAAAGTTCTTACAATCTGGAATAAACTTCAAGAAAACTATATAAGCACTGAAACCCCAAATTAATAAAAATCGAGATTTAAAACAAATTTGTTCAGTTTGGCCTCTGATTGTGATATGTAAACATAAGTTAAGTTTTTTGGTCTCACTTTTCCTTTATTTTCTTATCAAAAATTTAATGCTTATTAATTATGTATTCCCCTTCATCCCAATGTAATCTGACTCTATCTGTCTTTTTCATGCACAGCACTTTGAATTGCTAGTTGCTACTAAATGTGCTTTGTGAATAAACTTGGCTTGCATTGCATTTGCTAAATAATAAATATTTTTTTTTTACCCCTGAAATGTGAGATATGCATAGTTTTGGGCAAGAAAACAAACAAACATACAAAAAAAAAAAAACTGTCAATGTGGTCCTTGTGGTGTACTTGTCAAATATTTTGTTTTTGGAGGGTTTTGGTTGTGGTGTGGCATTCTCTATAAAAAGATCTCTAAACAAATGGAAACACCACATAGAGCTTTAGAAAAAAACGGATGTGTCTAAATCCATTAGCAACTTTGACCATGTGCTAATTTATGCATCTCTACAGATCTGTGAATAATTTATTTGTTTTATTTCACAAGAACTCTCAATTTCTAAAACACCGTAAATAAGCCTTTATGTTGCAGGACATTTTTTTTTCTCCCATAATGATGTTATTCACTTATTCCCTCCAGCTTTTCAAACACATTGCAGAGCATGTTAGGACAGGCCACAGTTTCATTACATTGCTCTCTTTCAAGTTAGGTTGCGGTTAAGTATAGAAAAAAAATTGTTTAAGCTCTTCAGTAAGTCAATCTACGGAGGATTAGGGCCACTGAAAAAAAAAAGTTAACTGATTTTTAAATTTTCTTTCAGTTTAGTATGGAAAAAAAAGTCAGAATTCTGAGATTTAAGTCAGAATTCTGACTTTTTTCCCATACTAAACTGAAAAAAAAGTAAAAAATCTGTTAACTTTTTTTTTTTCAGTGGCCCTAATCCTCTTCCGTATCAATCAGATGTTTTCCTTTCATACAAGAAAAAAAAAACATATATATTTTTTTTCATTTTTGAGAAGTTCACTAAAGATAAAAAAAAAAAAAAAAACGGGTCCCACGAATGCTTATAAAAAAGAAAAAAACAATTATCCATGATAGATTTATTTAAATAATAAAACCAAAGCATTTAAGTTATAACAAAGGAAAAACTGAGAACATCTGAAGACATTTATCTTAGAGTAAAACACAAATAAAGCTACTCAGGTCTTTATGGCGGCTACAGCTGTTTGCTTTGCTTGTATTCCACATCCAGGACGTCATCAGCATAAACATCTTCGGTCCTTTTTAAAACAGGAAACAAACAAGAGAAAAATTTATTTAGGGTGATGTTATTATCTATCTTAAGACGAATGTAAAAAACAGAGGAACATAGGAGAAAAAATCTTTAAAGATGTTTTGTTCTTACATTAATTCTACAGTGTCTTCCACAGCAACTTCCTCCACCACCTGCACTTCAACCACCACGTTTGGTCTCACTGCAAACAGATATTTGTTATAAAAGTCAGAGTTATTACACCCTATTAACTATCCACTGCATCATATTTAGGTTGGAGTATTCCTGATTTGCTTGTGATTAATAATTTATCTTGGTTGGCTGCGATTGACTATATATAGTAAGTCCAGAAATATTAGTCACTACATTAAAGATGCATGTTGCTCCTCCAAAACAATCCACTTCTCCTTCTTTTAACCTTTATTATCATTTAATTATTAAAAAACAACACAAAATATAAAAAAAAAAAAAACTTTCCGTCGGTTTAGGGTTAATGAAAATTCTAATTAATCTAATACCTTCTAAAAGAATAAACAATTTAAGAGACTTTTTTAAACAGGACAATTATGTAAAATCCTACAGATGGTAAATAATATCAAGAGCTTTTTGTGCAAAACCAAATTTGTGAGTTTTTTTATTTAGTAAATCCTAGTATAAACTGTCCTTTTTTTTCCTTTTAAATAAAATTATAACTGAACATTTTTAAGATGCCAGATAACAGAGACTAGATTAATGAGCTACAGTCATTGTTTCCTGCCCTGACTTCTCTAAAGTCTATACCTTTTATTTATCGTATTCCTACCAAAACACCTGGGGACCGTTTGGACGAGCTGTTCAGGTAAATATAAAGCATCAGGATTCTACTTACCAACATAGTAGTTGGGTGGAGATCCTGACCAGCAAGGGTTCAACCCTTCTTGCTCTCTTTGGCCATAAACTCCACCACATGCATTGGTTTCTACCACTTGTCCACCACAACAACAGCCAACCCATTGCTGCAAAACCTCCACATGCTCTGCTCCTCTTACTAGATCCCCTGGAAAGTAATCATGTCCAGGCAGGTTTGGGGTGGTGGGAGTCTCTGAGGGGACTTGATTTCCAAAAGTGAACCACAGAGCATGGTCAGTTTGATGAGTAATGTCACGACAACCTGTAGAAAAAGGTGATAAGCAGGGTTAATTTAGCATTTGGAACAGTTACCGTTATGTGCATGCTTGGAGGATGAAGGAGGATTTCTCCTGCAGACATATGTCTGATCCATCTGTTTCCTGAAGAGACCTGCTGGGTTTGGATGCCAGTAAATCTGAAGCCCTGCAGGTACAACACAGAGTATGTACGCTCACACTGCATGCAGTGTTTAGGTGGTAAAAAACAACACTATATAAGCAGAGTCAAATAGCAAAAAGGATTGAGTAACACTGAATTGCTTTATTCTGTTTGTGTAAATTTTAAAGGATGTTATCACTCATGAAAGGATGCATACGGGGAATATTTAATTAATAATGCCTTTATAAGGCATAAGTAAGTTTTAAGTGAATTTGTATTAACAGAAAGTCACTGATATACATACGTAGCAATGGAAGATGCAAATACACAAACATAACAATAAACTAATCATAAAAACTGAACAATACTGCATAAAAAGTGACACCATTTCCTTGAGGACTTCTTTCAGATTTTCTCCTTTTATTTGAATGATTTTTCAGGCACTTTGAATAAAATTTCTTTATGATCTTGATTACCAGTAAGCTTAGATTTACCCCTGGTGTGATGGCACGCAGCTACAAACACTTCTTCATCTCCGCCCTCATCGTCATCTTGCTGGTTCAGAGCACATGAAGTAATTCCAAGTCTGCCCGGATTATAAGGACTGACACAAATCTGAGGTCCAGGTGGCTGAATCCAACATTCAGGAGAAAGTTTATACATCCTGCTGGAAAATGTGTCTTACCGTAGTTACAATGACACTTTCCTTCTTTCCAGAAAGCTTCTTCTGCAAAAAACGAAGCATCTGACTGGATTTGGCATATCGGACACAAAAAGGAGTGACCACGTGCATTTCATCATAGAAAACAAGCTGATTGGTTTGTTTTCACTGTCGATGATGTAACGCTTGTAATTAAAGGATCATTCCTGCGCTTTACCGTTTCAATTCAGAAGAATTCAGTTCAGTTTGCTTTTGTCATATCTGTTTCAACTAACCTATAACTAAAAACACAAACATATTGTGTTGTGATGACCCAATACATATTACAGTTTCACTCAAAAGTTAAGAAACCAATTTTTAACCATTCTGCTTCATTATATCTCTATGCTCCCACTCTGCAGAATCTGTTTGTTCAATTTCTAATGTTATGCTCTCATTGCTTTTTCTCATAGTAGCTTTGCCTCGTTTCTTCCTGTTTGGCTGTGACTCCATCCTGGAGAGAAATATCAGCTGTGCTGCTGCCATCAACACCTTTGTTTATAGATGTTGGAGATCGGCCTGTTTTCCAGTGTGGTCCTTTTTCTCTGACTGTGACTGGCTGGATGTGCTCTCCTCATCCTCTGACATGGGAGTTGGCTCGGAGCTCGTCTGCCTGGCTGTGTGTTTATTGGACAGGGCCGCCTTTTACAGCTGCTTTTTGTGTCTCTGCTTCTGTCTCCTTGAACCCCAGTCGGCCTCAGCAGATGGCCGCTCACACTGAGCCTGGTTCTGCTGGAGGTTTCTTCCTGTTAAAAGGGAGTTTTTCCTCTCCACTGTCGCTACAAGCATGCTTAGTGCAATTGATTGCATTCGAGTCAATTAGTCGATGCAATCAACTGATTTTTCTTAGATAGAAATCTTTGAATCAATTTGACTGGATGATCAAATTGAATTAAATTGAATTAAAGGTTTCTCTCATCGTCATAAACTTTGGATCCGTTTTGGATTTTTATTGATTGAAGAAATTAGACTATTTAGCCTCCATGACAAGATGTAAGTTTGGAGGAGTTGATGAGCCTTCGAGTATCACTGTGTTCATTTGTATTAATGTTAGTGGCATCATGCTGTGGGGCTGTTTGCACTCACTGGCTCATTTCCACAATACAAATGACATGAAAGAGTCTACATGCCTGCTAGATTCTGTGAGGAGTTAAACTTTTAACACAGCCAGGAATTTAGCCTCTGTCATGCTCTGATTATTCTTTTAAAAGATTTCCAACTTCTTCCTCCAGACCGTGATCCACCTTCTAGCTTTACTCATAATATCATAAACTGAAAAGCTTTGCTGCTTATACTATAGTATATGCTATATATTGTACTAAACATTTGTCTAAAATTTGGACGTTCTATTTTTTTTCTTCTCGTACAGGTTATGTCCTTTGTTTGCATAATACAAATCTATTTTACTTGGAGGAATAAACTATATATAAATGACCACTACTGCCACAGTGATGGATTGAGCTGCGTCCCAGTCCAACAGCTGGAGCTCAAAACCTCACTACCCTTGGTTGGTCCAACCATGAAAACATCAAACAGGGGTTCTTAGGAAGGTCTGAAATTAAAACTAACATCTATGGCTGAAAACCAACTTTAACTTTTCCAGTTCTTCCAAAACAGAATATGTAAATAAATGGACCATCATTGTAGTTTTAATCCTGGAATGAAAAAGATCAGTAATTTAAAAAAAGTTTGTTTTAGCTCATTAAAAGCTACCATTTGACCATTTGAATGCTAATTAATAAATAATAAGAATCAGAAATAAAAGCAGGTTTACAGGTGTATTGTTTTAATATGTAGACTAATTATTTGTTATAGAACAACAATTTTGGTTTAATGTTATGCACCATATAGCCTACATTGTTAACAATGCTAGTTTAAGTTCGTAACAGTAAGAAAATTTTAAATTCTGAGTTTAATCCTTGAATAGTTCAGAAAAACCAAACAAACACTGCACGTTTCTGATGGATAAAGAACAGAATAATGACTAATAAATAAAAGAAAAGTCTTAATGTTTCAAATCTATATCAAACAAGCACATTAGAACAATGTAAAGAGTGTGAAATTCTTCTTTATTTAAAGGCGTTGATTCGGAGTGACACAAACTCTTTTTTTTAATACTTTTTATTTATGGTATTTTTTGTAAAGTGCACATCATAATAAATACAATACAATCTATACAGTAAAATAGTCTGTTTAAACTGTGTTGTTGGTTCTGTCATTCATGTAAACGGACCCTTCGACCCACTTTCTTTCTCCAATTTCTTTTTGCAGCCTTAAGAAATAGGTCATCTGCTCAAATGGATGTAAATGTTTTATTATGCCAACAAATGTGCCCACTGTAGGTGCATCTTTCTGAAGCCAATATTTGGTAATTGCCCTTTTCCCTGCTGCCATCATAATTTTTTAGAGATACACATCATCTTTGTCTAATTCCTCTGGAAAATGACCTAAATACAGAAAAAAAAGAAATGTCACATCCACACTATAATCCAACGCCGTATCTATAACTTCTCTCACCTCCTTCTAGTAAGTCTGGGTGGAGGGGCGCAACCAAAATATATGGGAATGGTCCACCATGTTTTCTCCACATTCTCTCCAGCATCCCAGCTAGGGGTGTGGGAAATAATTGTTTTGGTAATATATCGTGATATTCGGCTGCCCGATATAATATCGATCTTTCACTTCTTAGTATCGATTAAAAAAAAAAAACAATGGTTACATAAAACATTGATGGGAAAATGGGCTACCTCTGCACCACCACTCTGGCAGAAAGCGCTGTGAAACCCTTTAACTGTGCATGCAGCACCAAATCTGTATTTGAGGCAGTCACAGTGGAAGAAAACCCCAAACAACATGGATAATAATAATATCTAATCAATATTTTCTGATGAAAATATACAGCACTTGCTGTTTTATCTCATCATTTGATTTTGATAGCTGGGGAAAATATGGCAATATATAGTGATACTGCAATATCGTGATAATATCGTATCGTGACCCAAGTATCGCGACATGTATCGAATCGCAACACTCATGCCAATACTCACCTCTAATCCCAGCTGAGTGTCTGTTTGTTTGCTCTTTTGCTTAGGGGCACCATATAGCCTACATTGTTAAAAAGGCTATTTTAAGTTCTTAAAATCTGAGTTTAATCCTTGAATAGTTCAAAACTCCAAACGCTGCATGTTTCTGATGGACACAGAACAGAATGATGACTAATGATTAAAAGGAAAATGCATTTTTTAAATATATATTTTTGCAAACATGTAAAACAGAACAATATAAAGAGGGTGAAATTCTTCTTTATTTAAAGGCGTTGGTGCGGAGCCACAGAAAATCTTGAACAGAGCAATAGCTTTCTTATCTGTTTTGCCCTTTGCGTAAAACTCCAGTAAATCTGTTCAAAGCTCAAAGATCATTAGATCCTTTTAGTCTTCTCCAGGAAATGAGTGTTCCTGAATCCAATGAAGCCCTCCTCTCCTTCCCCTAGAAATTTACTCCAGATGTTACATATATAGGGCGTGTCTCCTTGAAATGAATGAATGTCTCCTCAGACATTCATTTTATTTTTTTATTTTATTTTATTTTTTATCCCTATTCTCATAATCGTAGTCTTCTATCTTTCTCATTCAAATGGGTGTATCTTTTTGCGGTAGTATTTAAAACGCGCTCAGATTTCACTTCAGCTTTATAACCTCTTATCTCAAACCAGGGCGTTTGATTGGGCAACATTAAGTGACGTAGGTCCTCTCCTCCAATCAGAACGCAGCTGGGCGCTTCACAATCAGGAAATTCGATCGTTTAACAGCCAAACGGATGTGTTTACACCTTCACGTCTCTCTTCCGCCCCTTATTTCTAATAAGTTGCCTATAACAAGCTCGGTTCTTCAAACTGAGTTTCATTCCAGGTGTTTTTCAATCTCCGTGTTTTACGGTGCGGTTCTGTGCGCCTACGCTGCCCCAAAGACAGCAGTTTTCCATTTAATATCCTTAATTTGTTGGTTTTTATTGATCTAGAAATGGCCTACCCAGGATACGGCGCTCCGGCTGGTGGATTCCCTGGAATGGTGAGAACATTTTATGGGATTTAAAATGGAATATTGATGTTTCTGACCCTGATTGGACGTCTGAGACACAGAGGGCGGAAGTGGACGTTTGTAAAGTGTTCAGAAAAAAAGGGCAAAGTTTCTAGAAAGTATTTTAAAATTCCCTCAACGTTTCTTTCTTATTTTAAGTACTAACTACAGTAATCTTTATAGTGTGTAAAAAAATCAATTAAAGTAGAAGATTTTTAAAAGAGAAAAAACATCTTAAGGATTATCTTTTGATTACTGATTTACATTTAAACTTAGAAGCATTCATCTGCTAAAAAATGTCACTATAAACTTTCTTAAATTTTAATTGTAATATATAGACCCACTTATCTCTAGATTATTAAATTATTCATCAAATCTTAACAAAATAAAGAACCTGAATGAAATATTTGGTTTTGCTGCAGAGGTGATGTTTATTTGTTTTTTAATACAATTCCTAAGCTTTCAGTGTATTTATTCTATTTAGATTAATATTGCATTGAGTAGCTGAGGCTTGTAGCATTTTATATCAGTCCAGGCTGATACTCAGACAGACTAACCTTTTCTAACCGTTGAACTTTAAACTAATCCTGAATGGCTGATCTGATTGGCGATGTGCATGTGACACTTTTATGCCATTCAGGGTGAGGTAGGGTGGAAACCTTTATGATAACCTGCTCTCAGGTGAATCAGTCTGGCAATATGATTTAATTATATATATTTTTTAAATAAGTTAAAGTCCTGAAGTTTTAAATGAATTCAATTTATAAATTCTTTGGAAGCTTTTAATGCATCATTTAGTCCCTATCTAAAAGTCAGTGACATCCAATTTCTTATTCTAAGTGCTGCAGTATTGTTAGTGTGTAAATTCTGTGTTGGGTAAATGAAAGTTTTATAAGAAATATTGTCCGTAATAGATAAAAGGTTCTGCAGCTTCGCTAAAGTGGTGTTTTTTTCTTTTTAAAACCACCGGAAAATTAAGCTGTTAAGTTTTCCCAATTTCTGCATCAAACCAAATTTTCCTGGTTTTGGGAGATGCTTTTAGTTCGGATGATTAGATACAACTTTTAAATTTCCAGCACAAAAAACTTATTGCAGCTTCAAGTTTCAGCAGATACCAATATTGACCCCGTATGATAACAGCATGAATCATACAGACTTTTATTACCTGGTTTGTTGGGTGGAATCTTAGAAATGCTTCATCAAGTAACAATACTTGATGAAGCATTATTAATAACCAATGGGTTTCATAAATTTTAAAGAGGAGTTGATTCCTCTATCATCATCCTTATGTTGGAGATTTTAGATATTCAGGTAGGCCTATCCATTTGAAGAAAACCCCAAAATATATTGCTTTTCCTATTAGATTGGGACATGCTTTATTGTTAGTTTTTATTTTATATGATTGAAATGGGGAAAATATGGACGTTTTTAGGGTTGGATCTACAGTTGTGTTTAATATTCATGTTAAACATATTCATGTGTTGTTCTTCTTCTTCCTCCAAACCTTAACCTTCTGTTTATCTCTCCACTGGAAACAACTTGACAATGCTAACCCGTGCATATGAACTGAATAACAAAATAAAGAAAACAAATAGTATTGCAAGGTTCCTATTCAGCCTTAAACATTGCAGAAAATGGTTAAATTCAATACAGTTGTTTTCTTACTTTTCCCTTATAAAATACATTTCCATATTTAACCACAACATAACCTCATTCTAATTCCATAGTGATTCATCCAGTGTGACTTATATTAAAACTCATCCATCCATCCATCCATCCATCCATCCATCCATCCATCCATCCATCCATCCATCCATCCATCCATCCATCCATCCATCCATCCATCCATCCATCCATCCATCCATCCAAAAAATATTTTAAAAATGTGTAGAAACCCTGATAATCCATATATGATTTAGGATTAAAAAGGATAAAGCAGGAGGTGGCAGGTGCAGGGGTGAAGTATGCTTGCCATGTATGGAGGCTTCAGTCTTTGACACGGCTGTTACAGGTTGACTGCAGGTGTTTGTCTCTTTCTCTCTGTTCATTTAAGCATACGTTTGAATCATTAATAAATCACAGAGTTCAGTTTGCTGTAGCTTAGGCAGCAGATATGATGACATTTAAGCTGTTAAATCAGAAGAGCAGTTAGAGAAGTGCACCTGTGCTCTCAGAAGGTTAAAAGTACCCGGTCCGATCCTCACAGCCTCCACTCTGGGTCCCTGAACAAGACCCTTAACCCCTCACAGCTCCTTGGGTTCTGCACAATGGCAGCCCACTGCTCCCCAAAGGGATGGGTTAAATGCAGAGGTAAATTTCTCCAGTGTGAGATCAATAAAGTTCAATTATCTTAATTATAAAATTTACTGACCAGTTAATCATTACGTGACTATTTTTACTTAATGAAACTTAAATGTTTTTTGTGAGTGTTTAGATTTTGAAAAGATGTAGTTTCTTATATTGTTTACATATTGATGGTTTCACACTATTGGAGAAGAATATTCCAGATAGTAAATTAGTTTCTAATCGCGTGGATAACAAAAAAGAAATGTTTAGATACTTTGAGGTTTTTTATTTTTATTTTTAACAGTTTCATTTATTTCCTGTTTGTACAAAAGCTTTCTTCTCACATCACCATCGTACTTCTCTATTAGACGCTCCTAATATTTCACAACCTTTAAAAAAAAAAAAAAAAAAGGCTGTATGATTTTAATAGTATTCGAATGCAGCTCAAACTCTTTGGGGGGTTTGGTTTGAATTGTTTTACTTTTGTAAAGGGATCTTCTGCACTGTTAGCTGATCCCATAACTAAAGAATCAAATAATTCAGTGATGATGAAATAATGTTATAAATCTACAGGCTTAACTTCTGCTTCCCTTTGTGTAGCCGCCGCAGCAACAAGATCCAATGTATGGATACTTTACACAAGTGGCTGGACAGGTAAGCAGATTTCTTTAAGGAAACTATGACTGATATCCTCACACTTCATGTCTAATTAAATATCTGCAGTGAGTTCTGATGCTAATGTAAGTTTTAAAGTAATCAGCTGCTTTCTGACTCTGAGCTGTGTGCCGTTCCTTCTTTCTATTTTATGAAACCTCATCAGGATGGACAGATCTCTGCAGAAGAGCTGCAGCGCTGCCTCACGCAGTCCGGCATGTCTGGATCCTACAAACGTAAGATGGAAACATTTTAGTGGATAAACCAGCTTAAAGACACATTAACATTTCACAGATGATTATAAATTAAATTATAAACTGTTACTATAGATCTTTGTACCTCTTGAGTTTCCATCACCTGTGAAAGATTGTTCCCCCTTTCTACAAAAGTTGAAGTTTACACTTGTAGTCTGAATTTGAATACCTCTGATTATCTTTGAAGTCAAAGGAGCCTTGGATCCGAACAGTATTCCTTTATTTTTATTTTTTTTAAACTGTATTCCAAAGGAACCTTTGTTCTATTGTTTCCCTTTGCTGCATATGCATTACTTTGTGTTATGTTTCCTTCTCTCTGCAGCTTTCAGCATTGAGACGTGCAAACTGATGATCAACATGCTGGATGTATCCTTCAGACGTTATTCAACCATCCTCTCTTAGATTGAAATGGTCCTAAAATGACATGTTTTGCACATAAAAAAGTGTCACTACTAGTTATAACAAAATGGAGTCAATGGTTCATTTCAGTCACTTCTAAAAATCTGAGATTCTGGTTGGCTGTGAGACTGCTAAAAGCTTTTATTATTTCATCAAATGGATATAAGCTGTTGAATTTGTGGGTTATGAATGAGAAAATACTCATATTCAATATTATTTTACACATTTTGTTCAATACACAAGTTAATATGGGTGGTATGAATTTAGAAGTTGAACACAATAAAAGTGATGCAACTGAGTGTGCAGCTGTTCAGAGGATCTCCATCTGAAGTTAAGTTATTTTCTCTGTGATATCTCTGTATCTAAGTAACTCTAACTGACTACTTTAAAACATAGCACCTTCTGCTGCACTTTTCTACTGAGCACTTGTCAGTTTCACACGGTTTTATTTCTGATAGCAAGAAGTAGCTAGCCTAGGCTAGCGCTAGCTTAGCATTGCTATGGCTTCTCTCTCTCCCTCCCTTGACTCTTTTCCAACTCTTCCTTCTTCCTCTCCTCTCTCCTGCTCTCTGTGTCAGATGTTCAGTTATTCCTCTGCCTCCTTTAGTGATAATGGGATGTGTAATAAGTGTAGTATTTTTGTAGCTTTGGAGGCGAGGGTGTCAGAGTTAGAATCCAGGCTTCAGGCTGTTGAAGTAGGCCCCCCACGTAGCTGTTCTCCAAAAGTGCCTGAGCAGCCAGGCGATTGGGTAACTGTACGCAGAAAGCGTAGTCGTGGATCTCTGCCCACTGGTCACCACCAACCCGTTCACGTTTCTAACCGGTTTTCCCCACTCAGTGACACACCCACTGAGAAGCCCACTCTGGTGATTGGCAGCTCCATAGTCAGAAACGTGGCATTAGAGACACCAGGGACCATAGTCAAATGTTTGCCGGGGGCCAGAACGGGCGACATCAAATCCTACCTGAAACTACTGGCTAAGGATAAGGTTAAATACAGTAAGATTGTTATTCACGCTGGTGGTAATGACACCCGGTTACGCCGATCGGAGGTCACTAAAATTAGTGTTGCTTCGGTGTGTAAGTTTGCCAAAAAAAAATGTCGGACTCCGTAATTTTCTCTGGTCCCCTCCCTGATCTGACCAGTGATGACATGTTTAGCCGCATGTCGTCATTCAACCGCTGGTTGTCTAGGTGGTGCCCTGAAAACAACGTGGGCTACATTAATAATTGGCAATCCTTTTGGGGAAAGCCTGGTCTGATTCGGAGAGACGGCATCCATCCCACTTTGGATGGTGCAGCTCTTCTTTCTAGGAATCTGGCCACATTTATTAGTCCTCCAAAACCCTGACCACCCAGGGTGCAGACCAGGAAGCAGAGTTGTAGTTTAACACACATCTCTGCAGCTTCTCTACTGTTACCCACTCTTTACTCCATCCAGACAATGTCTTGCCCACGACCAAAATCTAATAAATTAGCAAAGATTCCCAAAGGAGTAAATCATGACAATCTAATTAAAATCAAAATAACTCCAATTGGGGAAAAAGTTAAAACAATTAAATGCGGTCTGTTTAACATAAGATCGCTTTCCTCTAAAAGTCTACTAGTTAATGACTTGATTTGTGATAATCACATTGACTTGTTTTGCCTTACAGAAACCTGGCTGCAGCAAGAGGATTATGTGAGCATAAATGAGGCAACTCCTTCAAGCTATTTAAATTTTCACATCCCCAGAAGTTCTGGGCGAGGAGGAGGAGTAGCAACAATCTTCCAGTCTGACTTACTGATTACTCCCAAAACAATTAATACCTACAACTCTTTTGAACATTTAACCCTTAATTTCCCTGATCCAAATTTCAAGGCAAGAAAACCTCTTCTTTTTGTAACTTTGTATCGTCCACCAGGTCCTTACTCTGAATTTTTAGATGAGTTTTCAGAGTTCCTTTCTGATTTGGTATTAAATACTGACAGGGTCATTATAGTGGGAGATTTTAACATCCATGCTGACATTGAAGGCGATAGCTTAAGAGCAGCCTTTAATGCTATCTTAGACACTATTGGCTTTGTTCAAAATGTGAATAGTCCCACGCATTCTCATCTTCATACTTTGGATCTTGTGCTGACATATGGCATAGAATGTGAAGAAATAACAGTATTTCCTCACAACCCTGTCCTCTCTGACCACTTTCTAATAACCTTCAGGATTACTTTAACAGAGTTCTCCTCCCCCAAAAGAAGGTTCAATTTTAGTAGATCTTTATCAGATAGTGCAGTTATAAATTTTAAAGAATCTGCTTCACTTTCTCTCTGCTCTGTGTCACTGAGCAGTGCTGCAGAGTGCAAAAGCTTAGCTTATTCCCCTTCACAGGTTGATGATTTTGTTGATGGGGTTGCTAGTTCTCTGCGTATTGCCTTAGACAACGCAGCTCCTTTGAAAATGAAAACCGTTAAAAATACAAAGCTTGCTCCTTGGTTTAATGCAGAGCTGCGTACTTTGAAGCAAAATGCTAGGAAACTGGAGAGAAAATATCGCTCCACAGGCCTGCGAGAGTCCTTCCTAGTCTGGAAAAATGGTTTACTGCTGTATAAGAGGACCCTTTGTAAAGCAAGAGCAGCATACTTCTCCTCATTAATAGAGGAGAATAAGAATAATCCAAGATTTCTTTTTAATACAGTTGCCAAACTCACCCAGAGCCATAGCTCTGTTGAACCGTCCATTCCACCTGCTCTTAGCAGCAATGATTTTATGGGATTCTTTATAAATAAGATTGATCTTATTAAAAATAAGATCATAAGCACTCCTCTATCCGCGATTGTACCTGAGGTAGTCATGGAATCTGAACCGGGTTTAGACTGCTTTGATCCAGTTGAACTCTCTGAATTAGCAAAATTATTGTCTTCATCTAAGCCTTCAACTTGTATGTTAGATCCAGTTCCAACCAGGTTATTTAAGGAGGTATTCCCTTTGATCTCCTCCTCCATTTTAGATGTGATTAATCTATCTCTGTTACAGGGATATGTACCTAAAGCTTTTAAGATTGCTGTAATTAAACCTCTGCTTAAGAAACCGTCTCTTGACCCAGATGACTTGGTCAATTATAGACCTATATCCAATCTTCCTTTCTTATCCAAAATTCTTGAGAAAGTAGTTGCCAAACAAGTTTGCGATCACTTCCACCATAATGAACTTTTTGAAGAGTTTCAGTCTGGCTTTAGAGCTCATCATAGCACTGAAACAGCTCTGGTGAAAGTCACTAAAGATATTCTCATGGCCTCAGATAATGGACTTGTATCTGTGCTCGTCCTGTTGGATCTTAGTGCTGCATTTGATACAGTTGACCATAATATTCTTTTAGAAAGACTTGAATATTTTGTTGGAATTAAAGGAACAGCACTAGACTGGTTTAAATCTTATCTATCTGATCGAATTCAGTTTGTTCATGTTAATGATAGATCTTCAACACGCTCAAAGGTTACCTGTGGAGTACCACAGGGATCAGTGCTAGGACCAATTCTCTTTACTTTATACATGCTCCCAATTGGTAGAATTATTAGACAGCATGGGATTAATTTCCACTGTTATGCTGATGATACCCAGCTATATCTGTCTATAAATCCAGATGAAGCTAACCCATTACATAGATTACAGGCATGTCTTGAAGACATAAAAACCTGGATGACTCTTAACTTTCTGCTTCTGAATGCAGACAAAACAGAAGTTATAGTCTTTGGACCAGAGTCTCTGAAAAAGAAACTGATTAGCCAGTCACTTCATTTGGATGGGATTAAACTGATTTCAGATAATAAAGTAAAAAATCTTGGTGTTATTTTTGATCAGGACCTGTCATTTAAATCCCATATCAAAGAGGTTTCTAGAATTTCCTTCTTTCATCTGAGGAACATTGCAAAAATTAGAAATATCCTGTCCAGGGGTGATGCTGAGAAACTAGTCCATGCATTTGTTACTTCAAGGCTGGACTATTGTAATTCTTTACTATCAGGAAGTCCACAAACTGTAGTTAAAAGCCTTCAGCTGATCCAAAATGCTGCAGCCAGAGTTCTAATGAAAATGAAAAAGAGAGATCATATCTCTCCTATCCTGGCTTCTCTTCATTGGCTTCCTGTTAAATCAAGAATAGAATTTAAAATCCTCCTTCTCACATATAAAGCCTTAAATGGCCAAGCTCCATCTTATATCAGAGATCTGATTGTTCCTTATGTTCCTAACAGAGCACTTCGCTCTCAATCTGCAGGTTTACTAGTGGTTCCTAGAATTTCTAAAAGTAGAATGGGAGGCAGATCTTTTAGTTATCAGGCTCCTCTCCTGTGGAACCAACTACCAGTTTTAGTCCGTGAGGCAGACACCCTGTCTACTTTTAAGGCTAGGCTTAAAACTTTCATTTTTGATAAAGCTTATAGTTAGGGTGGCTCAGGTTATCCTGAGCTATCTCTATAGTTATGCTGCTATAGGCTTAGACTTTTGGAGGACATAGGGACCCCCATTTCATCATTCTGCTTCATTCTCTCTCTGTTCTCCTATTCTGCAGAATCTGTTAGTTCAATCTCTAACCTTCTGCTCTCTCTGCTTTTCCTCAGAGTAGCTTTGCCTCGTCTGTTCCTGTTTGGCTGTGACGTCATCCTGGAAAAAAACATCAGCTGTGCTGCTTCTATCAACACCCTTGTTAATAGATGTTGGAGATCGGCCTGTTTTCCAGTGTGGTCCTGTTTCTCTGACCGTGACTGAGTGGATGTGCTCTCTTCGTCCTCTGGCATGGGAGCTGCCTTGGAGCTCGTCTGCCTGGCTGTGTGTTTCCTGGACGGGGCCGCCTTTTACAGCTGCTTTTTGTATCTCTGCTTCTGTCTCCTTGAACCCCAGTCGGCCTCGGCAGATGGCCGCTCACACTGAGCCTGGTTCTGCTGGAGGTTTCTTCCTGTTAAAAGGGAGTTTTTCCTCTCCACTGTCGCTACAAGCATGCTTAGTGTGGGGGATTGTATTTGAGTCAATGAGTCAATGCAATCAACTGGTTTTCCTTAGATAGAAAACTTTGTATCAATTTGACTGTATGATCTGGTTGAACTGTAAAGTGCCTTGAGATGACATGTGTTGTGAATTTGGCGCTATATAAATAAACTGAATTGAATTGAATTAATATTTAAGAAAAACGAATCTTGATGACAAACACATTTTCAAATCTGCCTCATGGTCAGCATGAATGCAAAGCCCTGTTTTATCTAAAAAAAAAAAAAAATCTGTTCTAAATTTTAGCCTCACATAAATTTTGCAATTTTTTTCTATATTAATTGCTGAAAGCTGCACATAATACAAGCTGTTCTGAGTAAATTTTTAAATAATGTAAGAGAAAATGCTTTTTTCACAAACCGGCCCAGGTTTTCTATCCATAAACAGCCTCTATCCACCATCTTTAGGCTCTTTATTCTGCTGTTGTTTTGAGACAACTGGGCTAAGAGATTAGCATTTGAGTAAAGGTAAAAAAACTCCAGTACAGTTTTCTATACTTATAAGAATCATAACTTTTATAGACAGAAACATGTCTGCATGTTCTGGAGATAAAATTAGTTAAATTCAGTTATTATAAATTCTAGTCTTTCCACATTTCTATTTTCTCAGTTGCTTTACCTTTTTTTTTTCTTTTCTTAAATCTCACGGAATCGTGTCAAAACTGTTAAACCTTAAACCACATTGTGGACAAGCCAAAAGGCTTCCAGGTATCAGGGGGTTTTACCAACCACAAAACCACAGATGCAAACTCTTCCAATAAGCAAACGTGAGGCATGGAGGGAACGGATAGAGTAGCCATTAAACAATAAGAAAGAGAATATATATATATAAATATATGCAACTGTTGTTTTTACAAATATTAGTTTAGAAAAAATTTTTAATTTTGCTTTAACCTAATTCTTAAGAATATTAAGTAAACATAGATTTAAATCCAAAGATTGGAGCTAATCTGTTTTTGTGATAGAAAGAAGGGATAACAAGGAGTAAGTGAAAATTCCTTGACAGGAAATGCTTTCTTAGAGGGACATGTCTGGGATGATGGGTTTCAACGAGTTCAAGGACCTGTGCCAGGCCCTCAACGGCTGGAAAGGCACCTTTACATCCTTTGACCGGGACCACAGCGGGACAGTGGAGGGCCATGAACTGCAGCAGGCCATCGGCACAATGGGTAAGGACAGTTTGAAAGATTTGCTTTGTCACTTTTGACTCTTTAAAACCGCTTGGATATTTCTGCTGAAATTAAGTTTTTGTTTTAAGGCGCATACCATGATTAAAACAATTTTTTGTAAATCCCTCACCCTTTTTTAACATTGTGTTTCTGCAGGCTACAATCTAAGCCCTCAGGCTATGAATTGTATCATGAAGCGCTACAGCAACCATGGCAGAATTCCTTTTGATGATTTTGTGAGTTGCTGTGTGAGACTCCGTGCCCTGACTGGTGAGTAAATCATGGGTTCATATGAGACACTGAAGGCATTTTTGCTAGACCAGGTACAATAATATGGAACAGGATTAAGGCCACTGAAAAAATAAAAAAAGAATCAGAATTCTTCAGAGACTTAAATCTCTGAATTCTGACTTTAATCTCTGAATTCTGACTTTTTTCTCTGAATTCTGACTTTTTTTTCTGAATTCTGACCTTTTTCTCTGAATTCTGACCTTTTTTCTGAATTCTAACTTTTTTTCTCTGAACTCTGACTTTAATCTTTGAATTCTGACTTTTTTTCTCTGAATTCTGACTTTTTTTCTATGAATCCTGACTTTTTTCCTCTGAATCCTGACTTTTTTTCCTCTGAATCCTGACTTTTTTTCCTCTGAATTCTGACTTTTTTTCCTCTGAATTCTGACTTTTTTTCCTCTGAATTCTGACTTTTTTTCCTCTGAATTCTGACTTTTTTTCCTCTGAATTCTGACTTTTTTTCCTCTGAATTCTGACTTTTTTTCTGTGAATTCTGACTTTTTTTCCTCTGAATTCTGACTTTTTTTCCTCTGAATTCTGACTTTTTTTTCTCTGAATTCTGACTTTTTTTTCTCTGAATTCTGACTTTTTTTTCTCTGAATTCTGACCTTTTTTCTCTGAATTCTGACCTTTTTTCTCTGAATTCTGACCTTTTTTCTCTGAATTCTGACCTTTTTTCTCTGAATTCTGACTTTTTTTCTCTGAATTCTGACTTTTTTTTTCTGAATTCTGACCTTTTTTCTCTGAATTCTGACTTTTTTTTCTGAATTCTGACTTTTTTTTTCTGAATTCTGACCTTTTTTCTCTGAATTCTGACCTTTTTTCTGAATTCTAACTTTTTTCTCTGAATTCTGACTTTAATCTTTGAATTCTGACTTTTTTTCTCTGAATTCTGACTTTTTTTCTATGAATCCTGACTTTTTTCCTCTGAATCCTGACTTTTTTTCCTCTGAATTCTGACTTTTTTTCTGTTAATTCTGACTTTTTTTCTGTGAATTCTGACTTTTTTTCTGTTAATTCTGACTTTTTTTCTGTTAATTCTGACTTTTTTTCTGTGAATTCTGACTTTTTTTCTCTGAATTCTGACCTTTTTTCTCTGAATTCTGACCATTTTTCTCTGAATTCTGACTTTAATCTTAGAATTCTGACTTAAATCTCAGAAGTAGGAAGAAAAATAAGTAATGGATACCAAAAAAGTGTACTTAAGTACAGTAACAAAGTATTTGTACTTTGTTACTTGGTACCTCTGCTATTCAGTAACAGTTTAATGCTACATCTCTGACAGTTTGCCCTTCAGTATAAAAGCGGAATAGAGCACAGATTTTGTCCTTAGGACATATGAGCGACATGCTGCTTTAATTTGATTGAGTTTAATCATTGACTCTGAGGAAAAAGGGATATGCTCAAACATCTACGAATCCAGAAATGAAAATGCTTCTAATTTTGGGGAGTATTTGCTCTTCAGGATCTAGAGACTCCATCAGTTAAAGACGTCATTTCTGACTAGTCTCAGCTGAAATTTACAACACCAGAGCTCACGGTGTAACTCGCAGCAGTAACTTCACTCAGGATAAGGGCTATCTGGTTTTCTGAAACAAAAAACCCAGCATATGCAGATATTAACCCCAGAACTTATCCTGGATTCTCACTTATTCCACTTTTTAAAACAGGCCCCTGGTCTCTCATCCCGTCTGCATTTTTTATCTCTGGACCTTCAGCTGTTGCTACAACCTGTCAGTCAATACTGGTGAAATGTATCATAATGATGCAGCACCATCTCAGTTTATTGTGGTTTCTATGCTTGATTAATGATTTTTATTCAGCATAAATGTGTTTTAGGCCGATCAAGGTTGCATAACTTGCAGTATCCCAAATATCACTGGTTGTTATAGGAAACAATAACAGTAACTATATTCTCCATCCTGTCATTTATCTTTCATTAATATGAATCTACTGCACTAGCAAGCTTAGCAGCCTATGGCAATAGACATTTAAAAAGGTAAATCAGAGGTCACATCGTGCTTCCTTTACCTGTTGAGGTTCTGGTAAGAATTTTTTTTTTGTTTTACTGAAAAGGAAATGTTTCATTTCTTTGCTGTAGTCTAACCACAAAGATTGTAGAAAAGTTTCCACACTGAGTTTGGTGGTTTTCTTTTGCATGTATTTGTTTTTAACAGTTCAAACCACAGATGTTATTTTTATTTATTTTTTCCCTGATACCTGGCTATGCGGTATTGGCCGATACCAAACATATACCATCTACAGTATTTATGAAATTAACGTGTGTGTGTATATATGAAGAACTGCATACTACTCCAGTAGTATCCAATAGAACTTTTTATTGTATACCTGGAATGGGTGACAATAGTTGAATAAACTTTTGGCTCTGAAAATCGTATCGTTGCCCTATTTGTCAGTATTTGCTGATACCACTATTTAAAGGAATAGTACACCCAAAACATGATTAGCCTTCATTTTCTACTCACCCCCATGCTGAACAACACTCTGGAGTACTTTTTTGATATCTCAAATGCATCTGGAGATCTGGGAGGCTTCTTGCTGTCTGCTGACATTCAAATAATGGAGGTCTATGGTGCCTGAGACAGAAAGGTCCACAAAAAAACGTGTCAATATTCCTCCATACTGCTCGTCCAATGTATTCCAAGTGTCCTGAGTGGGTAGCGTCCAGAATTTACTCGAAACGAAGTCATTTAGAATGTTTTTAGAGCATAAACAGTAGTGTATAGGATTTCCTAAAAGCGCGTTCACGAGTCTACGGAAACCGCGGCAGACCAAACCAGATGAAAGTGCGCATTCAGCGTCTGCTCTGCCGATAATGCAAGCGTAGAAGAAGAAATTTGCTTTTTACCTGTGCAAAGAAAGAAACAACGAAAGAAAAATGTCTGAGGACTTCAGTGTTGAGGGAGAGCATGAGTTCTTTGCCGAGCTGAATGCGCACTTTCATCTGGTTTGGTCTGCCGCGGTTTCCGTAGACTCGTGAACGCGCTTTTAGGAAATCCTATACACTACTGTTTATGCTCTAAAAACATTCTAAATGACTCCGTTTCGAGTAAATTCTGGACGCTACCCACTCAGGACACTTGGAATACATTGGACGAGCAGTATGGAGGAATATTGACACGTTTTTTGTGGACTTTTATGGACCTTTCTGTCTTGGGTACCATGGACCTCCATTATTTGAATGTCAGCCGACAGCAAGAAGCCTCCCAGATCTCCAGATGCATTTGAGATATCAAAAAAGTACTCCAGAGTGTTGTTCAGCATGGGGGTGAGTAGAAAATGAAGGCTAATCATGTTTTGGGTGTACTATTCCTTTAAGTGCAGTATCGGGGTTCCGCCCGATGCTTGTATCGGCATTGGTGCAACACTAGTTATAAGTTTGGTTTTAAAAGCATGATTTCTTAAAGCTGTGTTAAACCTCAGAGCATGAAATTTATCAATATCTTAACATCAGCTGTAGCTACAATAAGAACTTTTAACAAATCATCCTATCTGACTTCTTTATATATGTATGTGTAGATTAACAGACTCTGCAAACAGCATCATTCAGACTCTGACCAATCCTGTTCAAAGCTCAGTGAGATTCTTCTCCAGTTTGTGGAATCATTGGCACTCTAGTTCATATGTCAGGGATTGATTATTTTATTATATATCTTTATCTTTTATTAATGTCTTTTTTTATTATTATTCTTTTTTTGTCTGTTCATGGACCATAATTGTGTCTAAATAAAGAGACTGATTGATTTATATAAAGAGGAAAACCAGTTTTACTGTAGTTTGTTGAGTTGTTTTCCTCAAAACTTTCTCTGAAGTATAATCAAAAAAATCGTTGGAAATCTACTTTATAGACTCCGACATACATTTCAGCAGCAGCTAAAGTCCTCACCAAGAACAAGAAATTGGTTCATTGCAGTCCTTAGATACCTACACTGGTTCACTGTTCAAAAGAGTAGATTTTTTTCTTTTTTTTTTTAGATCTGATCAAAAACATTGAATAATAATTTACCAGTTAGTTATTTAAAAAAAACTTTAAATAAAATAGACAATTGTGATCTCTGTTTACGAAGTGCTAAGTTATATTTGGTATTTTTTTGTATTCAGTATAAAAGCGGAATAGAGCACAGATTTTGTCCTTAGGACATATGAGCGACATGCTGCTTTAATTTGATTGAGTTTAATCATTGACTCTGAGGAAAAAGGGATATGCTCAAACATCTACGTATCCAGAAATGAAAATGCTTCTAATTTTGGGGAGTATTTGCTCTTCAGGATCTAGAGACTCCATCAGTTAAAGACGTCATTTCTGACTGAAGTGCTAAGTTATATTTGGTATTTTTTTGTATTCATATAACATTTCCACTTTTGTTCACTTAAACCTTTGACCTAAAATTCCTGTGTGTTAGATCAGTTCCGAAGAAGGGACACGGCCCACAGTGGGAATGCCACCTTTCAGTATGACGACGTAAGTTTATACAAGTAAATTTACCTTTTTAGTGTCTGAAAGGGTTCAATATTGCCCAGATATCGACAGTGACACCTTAAAGGTTGAACCCTCTGCAACAATGTTTTGAAAAGAAACTAATTTCTCAACAATGGATCATCAGTGCAGAATATTTATAGAAAGATCTTTCTGTTTAATATAACATCTGTAGCTCCTGTTTAGAATAATTTTTTACTTAGATAGGTACATATCGCCATCTAATGGTAGAAAGTATATTTAACTCATTGCTCCACTTTGGTTTAGAAAGAAAATAAAAAAAATGTACTTTACTTTATGTTCTCACTTTCTGCTGTCCTTTTTTCACGTTGATCAAAGAGAAACATATAGATATTTAGCTATTGAATGTTTATTATTTGAGTCATTTAATCCTTTAGCATTAGCAGATAAAATGTAGACAAATTAGAGAGAATTGAGGTGCAGTTGGATGATGTTTAGTTGCATATTAACTCTTGTCATATCTCTGTCCTTTTTAGTTTATCCAGGTCGCTATGAGCGTTTGAAAAGGACAAACCTTTCCACTGAGGACCATCCAACTGCTTTGTTTTTTTTATTAATCATTTCTATTTTATGTGTTTTCTATAAATTCATCTCCCATTTTCAAAGCTTAAGTCACTTATAAGCCATTCTTGCCCTTATATAGGAGAACAAAACATTTAGCATCTTATAAGTATGATTATTACTCTTTTATAAATGCTTTGCTTGCTTTCTACCATATGATGTTAACTATAAACAGACTTTTATGAAATTAAAACACAATATGAAGCCTGTTGACTGTCTTCCTTCTGTTTCTTATTTATTGCGATTTTTTTTTTCACATTGCTTTTTATAGCCTGATAAGCCTTAATGTTTGCAGTGTGGTGCATGTACCATACCAAATCTACTTACCGGTATAAAGAACTGTAAACACCAAACACGTGTGAGATATATAATCATTAGATACAAATGATCGATCAAAAACACAATAAATAAAGTAGAGTAAGACGGAGTAAGACAGAATCAACATCTCAGATTGTGTCTAAAGTCAAAGAAAAGAATTGGGTCTTAAAAAGAGATTTAAATCAGGAAATAAAGAGTCAAGTCTAATATATGTGGAGAAGTGATCTACTTTTCTACAGTTCAGAGCGACAGATGTGATCAAATGGAGCTTTGATCAGCCTCTGTAGGTGAAGCTGGCTTGCAAAAATACAGTTCTTAAAATCTACATTAATGTAGACGCATTTTATTGGATTTCATCACACCAATAAGAACTTTATGTCCTTCAAGATAATTATTCCTGTAAGATTGTGATCTGCTTCCATTTAAAGATGTCAAACTATAAATTTATTAAAACGTTTCAGCAAGGGATAATCTGGAAATGTACCTTATAAATATAATACCATTAAATATTGGGTGATAGTTTAAATAGTTTACTGTAAGGGTCTTCAACGTGCTTGTTCTGGGACCCCTAGATTGAAAAGGAGATGAAGCAAGGACCCCCTTACCGTGTCCGCTCTGGGGTTTGGGAGGTTGGTACCTGAGGTTTTACTGACCCATTCAGGGGTGCTTAAAAAAGTTGTTTGTATCAGACACGTTGGGGTGATGATGACTGAAATATACATCATTAAGCTCAGAGGGTTTTAAATTTAATGTCTGCCTGAAAATATATATCGGCCAAAAAAATCAAGAATATATCCACAGCTGTAAGGTCTTGGTGAAAACATCTAGTTCTTGTTTAAAGATTAAATAAACATATTTTTCCTCGTTAAAGCCATATGCAGATGTTGCCTGAGTTGTTAACAATTTGGGTAACAGATATAAATTTGTCAACCCTCCTGCAGTACCTCCACAGCACACTAGAGGTCGTAACCAGGACGTTAAAGACGTCTGTTTTTTCTGGTATTTTTCAAAACATACTAACTTTCCTTCTTTTTTGTTATAATTGATGAAGAACTTAAATAAAGACTGATTTGTACAGTGGAGTAATTTTAGATTCTGAAGGGCTGAAATATGAAGATCTTCTACAAATTAAATCAACAGAACTAGATTTTTTTTTTTTAAGAGTGTCCTCTCCGGCAATGTGGCAATAAGAATAATTGTCTTGATGCCATAAAGAGCCCAACAGATTTTACTATCACAAGTGGAGCAGTAGGGCTATTACCATAGTGTTCCGCTTGATTCATGCATATAAATAGCTTTATTATAATTATGGGAGTTTTACAGATTATACTGCAGTGTAAGTACAACAGAAGAGGTAAAACAGAAAAAAGGATGAAAAGATGAAAGAAAGAGGAGATAAAAGGGAGATAATGATCTATCGATCTTCCTTCCTTCCTATCTTCCTTCCTTCCTTCCTGGTTCTCATTTGTCCCACTTTCTAAAGTAGGCCCCTGGTCTGTGATCCTGTCTGCGTTTTTTTTTTAGCACTGATGTTCACTGGAGCACAATCTCAGTTTTTTTTATGGCTCGTATGTTTGATTAATGATTTTTGTTCAGCTTACTATGAACATCAGAGAACCAGGCTGCATAAATATGTTTTAGGCTGATCCAGGTTGCATAACTTGCAGTATACCAAATATCATTGGTGGCTATAGCACAGAATACAAATAACTCTCCATTCTGTCATGTATGTCTCATTAATGTAAAACTACTGCACTGGCAAACTTAGCAGCCTATAGCAATAGACATTTAAAAAGGTAAATCAGAGGTCACATCAAGCTTGCTTTATCTGTTGTCTGATGTTTTTTTCAAAATGCTGTTTTACTGTAAAGGAAATATTGCATTTTTTCTGTAGTCAAACCACAAAGGTTATAGAAACTTTTCTACACAGATGAGTTTGGTGGTTTTATGCATGTATTGGATTTTAACAGTTGAAACCACAGATGTTATAGGTTTGGTTTTAAAAGCCTGACTTCTCAAAGCTGTGTTATACTTCAGAACATGAAATCTTTCAATAGCTTCTCAACATCAGATTTAGCTTACATGTGAACTTTTATGTAGTAAATCATCCTATCTGACTTGTTCGTATATAAAAAAACAGTTTTAGTTTGATTTGTTTTTCTCTAAACTTTCTCTGAACTATAGTCAAGATAATCTGTTGAAATCTGTATTAAAGACCCAAACTGGTTCTGTTTGAGACACTAAATCCTCTGATTTTAAATAAACTAGTTTGCTTTACACCTGCAGTCTCAGAGATTTTGAGACCAGCTTTTCTCCACTGCAAAAATTACGGTATCTAGAAATAACTAGAAATTTCTTAAATTTAGTGTATTTCGCCTTAATCTGAGTATGTAAATAAGATGGAATTAGTATTTTTACTTTTAGTTATAATTAGATAACATGCTCTTGACATAAGACAAAACAATTGTTTTTTCTTATGTTAAATTTATACCGTCTTTTTCCATTGGCAAGGTGTCTTTTGTACCTCCTCCATTCAAGAGAAAATGCACAAATTTTAAGAAAAAATCTCTTTTTTAGATTTCAATTAGTTGCAGTGTCCAAATTGTTAACATCACTATTTGAGAGCAGTACCTCTGATTTTAACCACTCTTAAGCTGCTTTGGAAAGGGATAAATTCAGGTTGACTTAGGGATATATATTTTTAATTTCAGTTGTTCTATAGAATGCACATATTTAGCTCTAGCATGTCTCACTATTTGTATAATCTGAACTATGGCTGCACCATTGAAAGGAAAGATATTGTCACTACAAGATAACTTTGCACAACATGCACAAAGGGAGAGGGGGAGTGTCTAATTCTCTCCACTCCTTTCTGGACAAGAAGAAGAAAATTAATAAATGTTAATATTGCACAGGATTTTTATTGGATTGCATTATTTATTGGATAATATATCCTATGTGTTAAAAATTCACACTTTACACGCAAATGTAATACTCAGCTTGTTGGATGATTGACAAATTGTGCAATTATATAAACACGATTGCTTTGTCTGTTTGTTTGTTTGTTTGTTAAAACAGCTATTGCTAAATACATCTGTACATGTCTCTCTAGCTCATCCAGGTCACCACAAGCGTCTGAAAAGAATTAAGCTTTCCCGTGAGGAAATGACAAGGTTAATATTTCCTTAAATTCACTTTATTTATTTATTATTATATCTATTATTATATTACTTTCTTCATTAATTTTTGTATAAAAGCCACTTTCATTCATCCCTTTCTATCCCAATAACTAAAATTAATTAACTAAAGACTAAGTTTTACTTTTTTTAAGTACTTAGAAGAATCTACTATAATCTTTGTCTTCTTTCGACTAACATGTTACTACATGCATGTTTGAAGCTTTTATTATTACTCTTTAATCTGTAGCTGTCATGTCTGGTTGAACCTTTTGGACCCACATGCTGAATCAGGCATGGACACAAACTCAAGGGAGTAGTTTATTGTAAAATTCAGCCAAGCTGGATGGGGAGGGATCACGAGTCTCTGGGCAGGTGGCTGTCTAATGACATACATCTTAGTAAATTGGGTTAATTGATGGATTGCTTGAGGTAATCATAACCCTTTTCTTTACATGGGAAGTTTGGAAAGAACAACTAGATTTTTATAATTAGTACTTTTTTGTGTGCATGTGTATTTTTATGTTTATTATAAATATTTCATCACCTTATGCATTTGGACTACATGCAAAAGTCCTTTTTTTTATTGCTGGGTTGTTTTCTTTTTTATGGAGAAAACTAACCTTTAGAAATGTTCACAGCATGTTCAAAGTATTTTACACCATGTAAATTACTGTAAAATACATTCAACTGCTTTAAAAAGAGAATAGGGAAACAAGTTTTGCTCATTGCTTTAATTTTTATTTTTTTTACCATGCACAGAGAGAATGCAAAATTTCCACTTAACACAGTTTTAACCTCCTGCGACATTAGACCTTTCACAGCTAGAATTACAATTCGCCTCACGTTTTTCATTTTCCATCATCTCCTTCACAAGTTTGTCCCAAACACTACATTCCTTTTTGCCAAAGCAAGGAAAACATCCTATGATGGTTTCAGACTGTGAAAAGAACAGAGTTTATGTCAGATGCCTGAAACGATAGCAGAGGGTTATAAGTGAAACAAAGTTTTACTTTAAAAAAAAAACATAAGTAACTTATTTGAATGATGCAGACTAAAACTAAAGTATTGGTTAAATTAAAAGATATTTCACTAGAAAATAAATAAACTTTTAACAGGAAGGTACTCAGCCAATGAAAATAACTTGGTACAGCTGCAAAAGTTCACAACACAGAAGGCTTTAATTTAATAAGATAATCCCTTTTCATTCATGTTTTTTTTAAAGCCAATAAAAAGGACAAAAAAAAAACAAGCTAAATGTGTGTTCCATCCTCATTTCTATTCGTATGTTTATTTTTGTACTTTTTAAAATATTAATCCAAAGAGTAGTGTGTAGACATTTTGGGTTTAGTATATGGGCTATATGCAAATATGTAAGAATCTACAATTGTATAAAATCATGCATTCTTCAATTTTGCATTTTATTTTTCACATAAAGAAATAAAATTAAAACATGGTTTCCCTCTGCAAGTGTTCTAGTGTTTTGTGATCTTTTCAGCAAAATACAGACAGCGGTGGAACGCTTTTAGATTAACAACATACCTGTTTTGAGTTAGCTTCACCCGTTCGCAGATAGGTAACAAGGTGCTCACAGTTGTTTTTGAATGGACCATATAGATCAGGTTTACTACGCACAGCCTCGATGCCTTTTTTGATTTCCTCCTTGCTTGGTTTAGGAAGACCTGGAACATTTTCTTTGTGGTGTTCCTTCTCATCTTTAAGATGACCAAACGTGATGTCATTCATTAGGGGAAATCCTGTCAAAGTTGAAAGAAATAAAATATCTAAGCATTGTTTATTCCTATTTGATGAAACCAAACCTTTAAATAATTGACAAGCTGAAAATTGAGTGTAAACAATTGTGGATACCATGTAAGACACTTTTAGGTTTCATGCATCATCTAGTCACTTTCTTTGCCAGTCAGCAAAAAAATAAAAATGTTTTTAAATATATTTTCTCAATGGTCATTTTCAAACAACACACTTTTAATTATAACGGTTTTTAAATAGTTTTCACTTTTAGTGGAATACTCACCTACTCGGTGGATTATGTCACCATCAGCACCAGGGATCTCACCATCCACATACAAAGCATAGTGCTTGTACATAATTTTGTCAGTACAGGGACATTTTCTGGGGAATGCAATGATATCTCCAAATTCATACTGCAGGAATAAACAGAAAACACTCATTGTAAAACAGAAAAGCCATGTGGTCTGATTTCCTGCAAAATTATGTTAAAGTACATGCATTCTTAAACAGTAAAAAAGACAACACACAAAAACACACAACAAAAATCATTCGTAAAGCAAAGCTTTTCTGAGTGTCGTAAGTGGGATAAACATTATCCCGGTATTCCTACTAAATTGGATTACACTCTCTCATCAAGAAGTCAGACAGATGATGATTCAAAGGAACAAAATTAACAGCTATTTACTATATAACATTCTTTCATGGATTCTAAATTTGCATGATTTAATCTTGTTTAAATAATCCTTTGACTTAAGGGCAAGTGTGATTTAAAAATGAACATCCTTACCTCAACACTTTGTATTAAAATCAAAAGATGAAGGAAAACAACTGAGAGGAAAAGGGCCTTCATCTTTAAAAAGACAAAAACAAACTTTTTTTAGTAGAATGACTTAAACTGTTTTATATTGGAAAAAAACACAAAGACTTACCTCTTAAAGAGCTTGACTTCCACTGTCAGAATAAAAAAAATAGAATAGAATTTAGGTTGTATTGTTTTCTCAAAATGTCATATTTTATTTTAAAACATTAGTATTTTGTCCTGTGTAAGACAGTCTATGTAAAAGGTGACAGGCTAAGAAAATTTTTTCAATATAAAATAATATTTCTATACTCTACCTTTGAGGAAATACTCCTGTGAAGTGTTTCTGTGAAGATCTAATTCTCTTTGTGAGATGTTGGTAGTGGGAACGAGTGTACAGGGTATACTTATATAGGCTGGACAACTGCAAAGGATCAGATTAAGTTATCATCCAAACTTTGAGAAAACGGCCTCAGAAGACATTGTGGACGTTTTTTACATTTATGCAAAACAATATAATTTCTTTTACTGTGTTACGACCCGTCTAGGGTTGCCAGACCATAACATATTAAAGAGTGGATCCATCCTCTTCCCATCCCAAGTAGCTCACACATACAAAGTTGCACATCTTTAGAAAGTGATTTATTTACAAAAAGGAAAATAATTCTAAAGTTACTGTTAGAAAACGCAGGACACTAAACCACACATGCATCAGCTTAACTTTACAGTCATCTGACCTTCATATTTGCAAGTCTGTTCTGTGTGCTATCACTAAACATCACGTTTGGTAGCACGTTTTGAGAACATGTGTTTTGGTAGCATAGCAATTATTCCGGTTTCTATGCTAATATAACTGACTTTTTTTCATTTTTTATCTGATGTCTTTTTGTTTTAGACATTCACCACTTTCAGCTAGAGATTCTAAAAGATTGTTTACCAAAAAAAAAACATGATGATGAATGAAAAAAAAGAAAGTACAACTTTTTGTGCTTTTATGATCCCAGGAAAAAACCCTTTTGCTTTTTTGCTACTTTAACTGTTAGTTTATGGTGCACAGTACAGAGCATTAGGCCTACACTAGCTTTGGCAAACAGTATTTTTTATCTCAGGGGAAGAACATTATTTGACAACATGGAATTATATTGTAAGAAAACAGAAATGAAGAAATACGATCAGATGGATTTAGTCATTTGGAGTAGATGTTTACCATTGTTGATATGCATGTCATATCATTTTGTAACCAAACAATCCCTTAATTAAACATTCTTGTAAATATTTTCATTTAAAGAATGATTATTCCAGTGTATCTGTAAATGTATTTGTGACCTTGCTTGTCTGCATTTATAATCGTGCTTTAAGAAGAATTATAGTACAGAACTTCCTACAGTCCTTTTAAAGATAACAAAGATGACTGGATTGTTGCTGTCATCTTTTGCCCGATTCACAGCTATCTGATGCCTTTTTTTTAGATAAACAATGGGGAAAAACATAGTGATCCCAGGCACTGAAACCTAAATCTAAACGCCCCTGGTAGGGTCTCCAAAGGCAAACAGGCTCTGGGTGACAGGTCAGACGAAGAGCGGTTCAAAAACCCTCATGACGAGAAATACAGCAAGGCAAGTGACGTCGCCCGGTATGGCGGAGCCGGGATCCCACCCTGGAGCCAGGCCTGGTGGTCGGGTTCTTCCTCGCGGGACCTGGCCGGGCCCAGCCCGAAGGAGCGATGCGAGGCCATCCCCCAGTGGGCCAGCCACCTGCAGGGGGAGCCATGACGGTCCGGTGCAAAGTGGATTGGGCGTCAGCCAGAGGCGGAGACCTCGGCGACCTGATCCGCGGGCGCTTAAACTGGCTCTGGGGAATGTCACCTCACTGGTGGGGAAGGAGCCCGAGCTTGTGCGGGAGGTGGAGCAATACCGGCTAGAAATAGTTGGGCTCGCTTCTACGCACAGCCAGGGCTCTGGAACCAAGCTCCTTGAGAGAGGCTGGACTCTCTTCTACTCTGGATTGACCCGCGGGGAGAGGCGGAGGGCGGGGGTGGGGCTGCTTGTCTTCCCCCATCTCAGCCGTCTCGTGTTGGAGTTCACCCCGGTAGACGGGAGGGTCGCATCCCTTCGCCTTCGGGTTGAAGAGAGGACTCTGACAGTTGTTTCGGCCTATGGGCTGAACGGCAGTACGGAGTACTAGGCCTTCTTAGCATCCCTGGGGAGGGTGTTAGAAAGTGCCCCTCCCGGGGATTCCATCATTCTACTGGGAGACTTAAACGCCCACGTGGGAAACGACAGTGACACCTGGAGGGCCGTGATCGGGAGGAAAGGGCCCCCAGCTCTGAACCCGAGTGGTGTCTCATTATCGGACTTCTGTGCAAGTCATGGATTGTCCATATTGAACACCATGTTCAGGCATAAGGATGTCCATCTGTGCACTTGCCACCAGGACACCCTAGGCTGAAGGTCGATGATCGACTTTGTAGTCGTATCTTCTGATCTTCGGCCGCATGTCTTGGACACCCGGGTGAAGAGAGGGGCGGAGCTGTCCACCGACCACCACCTGGTGGTGAGTTGGATACGTTGGAAGAGGAGGAAGCCTGAAAGACTCAGCAGGCCTAAACGAGTAGTGAGGGTCTGCTGGGAACGTCTGGTGGAACCCTCGGTCAGGGACGTGTTCAACTGCCACCTCCGGGAGAGCTTCTCTCAGGTTCCGAGGGAGGTTGGAGACATGGAGTCCGAATGGGCTGTGTTCTCTGCCTCTATTGTCGATGCGGCTGCCCGTAGCTGTGGCCGTAAGGTTTGCGGTGCCTGTCGTGGTGGCAATCCCCGAACCCGGTGGTGGACACCGATAGTAAGGGATGCTGTCAAGCTGAAGAAGGAGTTCTATCGAGCTTGGCTGACTTGTTGGACTCCTGAAGCAGCAAGCAGGTACCGTGAGGCCAAGCGTGTCGCGGCCCGGGCGGTTGCAGAGGCAAAATCTCCGGCCTGGGAGGAGTTCGGAGAGGCCATGGAAAAAGACTATCGGTTGGCCTCAAAGCGATTCTGGCAAAACCCCCGCCACCTCCGGAGGGGAAAGCAGTGCTTCACTAACACTGTTTTCAGTGGGAGTGGAAAGCTGCTTACCTTGAAGGAGGATATTGTCGGGCGATGGAAGGAATACTTTGAGGTTCTCCTCAACCCGACAGACATGCCTTCCGTGGGGGAAGAAGGTTGAAGTCACCGAGGTGGTCAAAAAACTCCACGGTGACAATCTGTCCTGAGTATCTTAGAGCTCTGGATGTTGTCGGGCTGTCATGGTGGACACGTCTCTTTAACATCGCGTGGAGGTCGGGGACAGTCCCCCTGGATTGGCAGACTGGGGTGGTGGTTCCCCTCCACAAGAAGGGGGCCCGGAGGGTGTGTTCCAACTATCGGGGAATCACACTTCTCAGCCTCCCCGGAAAGGCCTATGCCAGGGTGCTGGAGAGGAGAGTCCGGCTGATTGTCGAACCTCGGCTGCAGGAGGAGCAGTGTGGTTTTTGTCCTGGCCGTGGAACAGTGGATCAGCTCTATACGCTCTGCAGGGTGCTTGAGGGTTCATGGGAGTTTGACCAACCAGTCCATATGTGTTTTGTGGACTTGGAAAAGGCATTCGACCGTGTCCCTTGTGCCCCCCAGTGGGGGGTGCTCCAGGAGTATGGAGTCGGGGGCCCTTTATTAGGGGCCATCCGTTCTCTGTACAAGCGGAGCAGGAGTCTGGTTCGCATTGCCGGCATTAAGTCGGACCTGTTCCCAGAGCATGTTGGACTCCAACAAGGCTATCCTTTGTCACCAGTCCTGTTCATAACTTTTAAGGACAGGATTTCTAGGCACAGCCAAGGACCGGAGGGGGTCTGGTTTGGGGACCAGCGGATCTCGTCCCTGCTTTTTGGGGATGACGTAGTTCTGCTGGCTCCCTCCTGCCAAGACCTACAGCTTGCGCTGGGGCGGTTCGCAGCCGAATGTGAAGCAGCAGGGATGAGAATAAGCTCTTCCAAGTCCGAGGCCATGGTTCTCGACTGGGAAAAGGTGGCTTGTCCCCTTCAGGTTGGAGGAGAGTCCCTGCCTCAAGTAGAGGAGTTCAAGTATCTTGGGGTCCTGTTCACGAGTGAGGGAAGAATGGAGCGTGAAATCGATAGACGGATTGGTGCGGCTGCTGCAATAATGCGGACGCTGCACCGGTCTGTCGTGGGGAAGAGAGAGCTGAGCGAAAAGGCAAAGCTCTCAATTTACCAGTCGGTCTACGTTCCTACCCTCACCTATGGTCATGAAATCTGGATCATTACCGAAAGAACGAGATCCTGGATACAAGCGGCTGAAATTAGCTTTCTCCGTGGGGTGGCTGGGCTCTCCCTTAGAGATAGGGTGAGGAGCTCGGTCATTCGGGAGAGGCTCAGTGTAGAGCTGGTTCTCCTCCACATCGAGAGGAGTCAGTTGAGGTGGCTCGGACATCTTCTTCGGATTCCCCCTGGACGCCTCCCTCGGGAGGTGTTCCACGCACGTCCCACCGGGAGGAGGCCCAGGGGACGACCCATGGCACGCAGGAGAGACTATGTCTCTCGGTTGGCCTGGGAGCGCCTAGGGCTTCCCCCAACGGAGCTGGAGGAAGTGTCTGCGGAGAGGGAAGTCTGGGAGTCTCTGCTTAGTCTGCTGCCCCCGCGACCCGGTACCGGATAAAGCGGGAGACGACGAGTACGAGTGTGAGTGCTTCAGAGAAGTTAAACAAAAGACACAACTGAACCACTTGACACACAATGAAATCAGTAAAGAGGCAAAGGAAAAAAAATAACTACAGTAGTTCAAATAAATTATTTGACCCCCCCTTGTTTTCTTCAGCTTCTTAGTGTAATGGCTGAAGAAAACAAAGAACACAACAATAACCAAAGGTGACAAAGTTTTTCTTCTTTTATTGTATATGGTTAGTTAAACTATAAACGATTAAAAGTAACAGCATATTAAGAAATTATATGAAAACATTTAGCTATGTTAATTAGGTAATAGTGTAGACATTTATGTTTTTATAGGAACTAAGTTAAATATTAATCTAAGTATACACATTTGTTCCACTTGTTGAAAAAAGAACACTAAACTGTCATCTGCCTTGTATTTGAATGTAAAAAGATAAAGGTAGTCACTTTGTTTAACATCCACAAAGGTTCGCTGAGGGATAATACTGGATAGATAAAAAATGTTTTTCATTCGAACGTTGCCTGTTGAAATATTTGACTAAATGGAGTTATGGCAATTCTAGCAGCAGCAGCACTCCTCTTTGTTTTAAGGTGTATTTGTAAATTAATCACAAGGAAGATCAGATAAAGCTTTGTGAAACAATCAGGCCTTCTAACCAAATTTGTAGAGAAGAATTTCATTAGAATTCTTACTAGCAATTCAGAAAA